AAGTATAACTTCAAAAACCCAAGAGCCACAAAGAATAATTCTTTTAAGTTACCCACAATACTTGTTGGTTCTTATTTGTGGCTCGTTGGACATAATTACAGTATAAGAAAGGTTGCAATTTAGTAGAAGTTCAATGTTGAATTTAATTGGGCATGTATAGGAACTTCAACTATTAAATTTTCTTGCTGGTAAAGGAAATATAAGGGTTTGTCGAGAGGTGATTAGTTCATTTAATAAATTGGATTAATGGAATACACTTTTACAAGAATCTGATATAGGTGTAAAATGTCATTTCGGAAGAAGTTTGTATTAGTAAAAACTATTAAGGAACACATGAGCTCAGCAGAAAACATATAATTTGTACCAAAAATAAATTTAGTGGTTATTAATTATATTTAAATTACATATGAAGTTACACTTTTTTACCCATGATTTTATTTATTTATTATATAATCATAGTAATAAATTCACTTATAAAGACTAAACTATGCACTCTTTAAACAAAAGTATACTTTCGTCTCTTTCTGTCAAATGGTGTTAAAGCTGTGATGAAAAGAGAAAGATTTATTTAATTAAAATAGTGCAATATTTATTTTTGTGATGTTTTTCCGACATATTTGATGCAAACATTTTATACAAACTTACGTAATATAGCATATTATGTGCAAATGGTATGTACAAATGTAGGTAAAGAAAGCACAAATACGAACTTAAGATGAGTCAAAAAGAATAGTTTAATGTCAAACTGATACACCCCCATGACGTCATCGCTTTAATTAAAAATGAGGTAACTTGTATGTAAGTCTAACATACATTTATCATTTAATATCAATTTGGCGTAGGAAGGTAATTTTAAACGAATTCCAAAAATTCTCATTTTGACGCGGGTAATTGTATTAGCGCGAGAATGATTTTTTTAATAACATTTTACAGTTCCCGCTCACCTGAATTTAATGAAATTTATAGATATAGGTGACAAATGAATATACGTTAATCATCTCTTAGTAGCGACGTATAAATAATAATATGTAAAACATATATATATATAATATATTGCATTTTTCTTAGTTCTGTATGATTGTCGAGATTTACATAAATTTACTACATATTATTATAAAAGGTTTCTTTAAGTAATAAATATATATATATATATATATATATATATATATCTCCTACGTAACGCACGTTTTGTATTACATTTTCCCTAGATCGTATTATGTTATCTGTTATATGTAATTTTAGCTAATTAGTAAGTTAATCATAAGTGCTTTTATAAATAATTCAATAATACAAAAATAAACTAAATTAACAATCATAGTTCAAACGAGTGTAGGATAGTTTATAGCCAGTACTTTTCGTCCTTGATTCCAAACTGGCAATGACTATAAATTTAGAAGCATTCTATTTATTTGTATAATGTGTTACCTATATGATTTTTTTATTGTTAGAAGTGTTTCTTTGGTCGGCAATGACGAGGTACGAAATGCAGTGCTATACTTCTGTAATCAAGTAATGCTACAGAAGTAGACAGAAGAACGAGAGAGCGAGCGCTTTAGGATCAGGACGAGAAGAAAATAAGAGAACATATGCCCATCTTCTACCTCCTATGTAGTGTATAGGAGGTTTCGAGAGTAATAGTTATGCAGGTGTAGCCCTGGTAGAATACCAGAGTCAACCTGGACCCTCTCTGACGCGACCCTGTAAGAACTACCCGAAATAGGTTTAATGGGTATTACATACCCAGTCTCTGTATAGCAGAGATTCTGGTGTGGGTCGAAGCCCACATACCCGTGCTATTTTTGGGGGATGGGGATGCGCTAATGCACTTCCGGCTCGGATATAAAAAAAATACAGTTTTTTTGTAAAATAATGTTATACTTAATTTAAAAAATGTCAATCAACTTACGGTACAGTATAGATCTTTATTATCATGAAATGAAACCTTAGAACAACTGGGCGTACGTACAGGAAGGGTCGAGTGTCAGAATAAAAGAAGTGAGATCGATAACACGACCCTGACACAATTTACAGTGCCTGTTAGGCAGACAGGGTTGCGGTTGAAAATAAATATTGGCCCTTTTAAATCCATTAGCTGACAAATGGGGCGAAAGTGAATTTTTATTTGGTTAGATGTCAATGTTCAATTCAATGGTATTTAAATAATACGTATGTATAGGACAATTTTAGTATATTTATTATATCACTATATTTAAAATCGTAAGTAATATAATCTAGTGAAACTACTCATAAATTTTCAATGAATACATTCTTATTTATTTTACAGTCTACTTGTCTAGTGATCGGTGATATGTGCTAACAAGACACAGGAAATAGCTGTAGTTTAGATGGTTATACAGCAAAACACTTGTAGCTAATTAGTTTTTAGACTAGATAAAAAGATTTAACAAGATTCGTATACATTACACAGTTTCTGCGACCTTGACGATAGATGGCGCTAATTAAAATTTAGTGAAACTTTATTTGTTTATTTTAAAAGTAATTACATTGAACTTGAGCGTAATTAAATGTAATTTTAACTCTCTCTGTTACGATTTCATTTAGCATCTGTTGAAAAGGTAATTAGGTTTTGTAACTCTGGTACGGTCGTTAGCGCTAACTAATTTAGTATTAATAATAAAATCAACTTAAGAACATGGCACTTCTGTGCCTTAATTAGTTAGGGTGTATATTTTATAGATCGTGATTTCGATTCTCAGACTTAATCAGTTGTGATAATAACAAAAGACTAATCACCTTAATATTTAACATTACTTGTCTACAAATACAGGATACAGAGACCCAATTACGAACGCCAAAAAGGAAATCCAATTAGATTCATATCTTGTTATTACTTGATAAACATTGTATTATATTTATGAAGCACAAAAGTTTATGAAGCAAAAATGTGACCCAAATAATTATTATAATATAGAATTAATATTAGCGATACACTGATCCATTTATGTCTATATTTATACCAAGTGCTGATTTTTTTTGTTTAAAAATAATAATTTCAATAGGTACCTGTATAAAACTCTTCGATTTGGTGGCCCCCATCCAGTTACCAGACAAACATGTTAGCGTCTACTTAGCATAACCTAAACTTTCTTCTACAACTACTTCTACGTAAATATTTTCTATAGAATTCAATTCCGTTTCTAATAATTAACACGAAATGGATTTTGGCATTTAGAGAATTTATTTAAAACATTTAATATCACAGGTGGATATAAGCAACATATAAGCAGGAACTCTACCTTATGACTACGAGAAATAGAACACTAAGCTAGAAATAACAAGTCTACGTAGGCCTTTAGAATTGACTTTACACAGTCGACTTAACACTTATTCAACAGTCAAAACATTAAAATTTGCATAAATAACAAGCATATAATTTAATCTCATTAACATGTAACGTATCGACTCAAAGTCTTTGTCCGTGCACTTGATAGCAAAAGCTTTGTATTTACACAAACAAAACGTCTCAATTTACGATTCAATGTCCTCTTTCGCGACATTCGACACGCCTATCGTTAGTATTTCTCAAGACTCTGGTATCCACAGTTTGTTTGTTTTTTATATTACAAAATGATCGAAGGAACATAACCTCAAAATAATATTTTTAATGCCACGTTCAGAGTACGATTGGTGTGTTTCAGCGCAGCGACGCGCGTCTCCTAGTGCGCAGGTCCTAGCGATTCTCGCCGAGGCCGTACGACCTTACCCAGATTCACCGCACCTAGACTATATCAGGTTGCAACTGTTCTATAAAATACTGCTCCAATAATTAAGCTCTATACGGAGAAATCTACGGAAGGAAATGGGGATGTTTTCAACATCAGATCGTATTTGTTTAGGTTATATTAAATTGTAAAGATAGAGTGAACGTAATATTAATGTATTCTCGATAGCTATTTCGTTGCTTTTGTTTTGTATTATATTAAACTTGATTTATTTGTATGTAAATTTGTTATTTATGGAGAGCTGTATGTATATGACCCAAAACCAAATGAAACAAAGGCGTGCCTCTGCGGTTTCATAGTGAAGTCTCGACAGTAGGTACTCTATTATTAATATATACAATGCCGGACATTGCAGGTTTTATATTTGAAGTTACAATGGTTTCAGTGCAAATTGATTACAAAATTGATGCTGAATCACTATGATCCTTGTAGTAACAAGAATCACTTTTACAATTAAATCATACAACATAGACGTAACATATTATTCGATATTAATTAGATATACATATACATTTTTAAAGATAGTTTAATAAAGAATTTTATTTGAGATTTAGTTTGGTCTAACATTTCATTCCTTTATATATTTTCTCTTGAAAAGCTGAAGTAAGTAAAGTCTCGAATTTTCATCATTGGAAAATCTCGCTACAAATGTATTACATATTGAATACCTATTGAAGTAAGGGTAGTCGAAAAGTATAGAGTTACAGCAACGAGATCAAGAGTTGTTATTGGCAAACAAAAAACATGAAGTTCCCATTTGCGAGATGAAAAATACTAGAAATATCATTCTGGCGTATTGCATTGGATTTTCACTTCAATATTGATAAAACAAATTCATTTATGCTTCGACTTTTTATGTAGTTACGTTATAATTAAAATTAGAGAAAGATACAAATGTGTTCGTAAAATTATTACGAGATGAATTCATAAACATACTATTACATTTTTGTGTGTAAAATTTATTATCCAAAGCCACGTGTAAAGTGGATTTCGGTTAAAATTAGACAATATATTTACGTGCTTAAAATGCTATCTCAATAATATAGAAGGCACAGGCATATAAGTAAGCTGAATGCAATTTGTCTTAAGAAATTATTAATGAAATGGAGGCAGTAATATGTGTACCTAATATTATATTATGAGAAGGGTCGTAAATATAACTTATGTAGGCATACAACTTATTACTTATTTTTATAAACAGAAGTACATATGCATGCAAAACCAAATGTCATTTATATGAATAGCAATGTCTCTTAATTATATGCTTACCTCACTTGAAGTCAAATAGCAAATACGGGAATCTGTGCTGTCGATTGAGGCCTGTTGTACGATGCCGTAGCGAGATGACTCCCGATCACTTGTGTATTCAGATCGTACACTGTCTTGGCGATCAAACATGCCACTGAAAATAATTTACTATTACAACAACAATAATACAATTTTATAAGCGATAACAATACTGCTTTATTTTCCCTTGTCCACTTAGGCAATAACCACGGAATGGATGGACTAATCAATTATTTCATAGATTTAAGGTGTGTCATATGTGGTGAAAATTAAACTGCCGACACTGGTGCTTAGTTCCACTAAATGACCTTATCAATCTCACTTATCTACTTCTCTATTTAACCTATTGAAACATTACTTTGAATAATACTATGGAAGGTTGTAACAAGTAAACTAAGTTTTGTAGCAAAAAATATATGAACATTCGGTAGGTATGAATACCTAAAAAAACAAATTATAAAAAAATAAACAAGAATATTTTTCATGTTAAAATTTCTAGTTAAATAAACTAACACGTCTTACGTTATAATGTATCAAGTTTATTAATAAGACAACAGATAAGAACGGTCTATTCAAAAACCTGCAATGCATTAGCGAAACACTGCCCCTGTGACGTAATAAAACTCGTCAACGTTCTATATAAAAAATAAAAATAAAGCTCTCATAGAGTTGTTATATGTATGTATAGTGACGGAAAAGTTGTGTCACGCCAAGGTTCTTAATAAAGCCAGCCTTTGAGCAGCGAACTGTAACATTATACTAGCAGTTCCCAGTTTTGCCCGCTTTTGCTGCTGGTATTCTATCGAATTTAGTGTGATACATTTCTCATTAAATATTTTCTTATTTACGTTTATTTAATAGATAGGAGAGTTTAAAACGCCTAAAAATCAAGTCTATTACGAGGGCTTATTTTTAGTAACTTAAGCGTTGTATTATTTTTCTTTCATTTGTGTTGTTTGAGATAGCCAAGCAAAATCGAAGACCATTTAGATTTACATGATTTATTCCTACCATAAATATCACAAGTATTATCTGGTAAAGTATATTTGCAGATTATACGAATCAATTGAAATATCTAACTCTCATGTTACAAATCCCAAGAAACGTAATAAGCTTCGAAGCACAGACATTGATTTGAACGAATAAATATTCATTATTCTTTTGTGGAATTGAAAAATTTGCATCAGAAGTATTTATCTTTCAGTTCAGTGAATGGTGTATAGCAAGTAGATTTCGTATTTAGAATTCCTTAGCGAGCGGAAATAGGTTCGTTCGAATTTCCGCCTCAGTTATCAGTCCTGTTACGCAAAGTGAGTGACCACAGGCATTCGCATGTAATGAGCTCTCATAGAGGATTTACGAGTGACGAACAATGTGAAGCCCACATTCAAAGAGACCGAAACTATCCGTCCATCATTTTGTTTGAATACTTTTTGATGCAAACATGGTGCTATTCTCTAACAATGAGCTTTTTTATCCCTTCTTTAGTATATTATCGTTTTAGAACACACCATTAGCGTCCAACAATAGTTTGTGATGCTTTAGGCAAAAGGAAGACAATCTTTTATAAAATTATAAATCAATTATATAATAAATCCATATAGAGTCTGGCTAATGAAAGAAGATAATTGAATTTTTTGAAAACTTTCGGATGGCAACACAGAATGTCATTGAATTTCTTAGGTTAGTATGATTTATTGTCTTGATACTTCATGCAATTACTCAGTTTTATTTCTTTTATATATTTTTTCCGAATAGTTAACAGATATAATAGCCTAAACATTTAGAAATTTTCATAATCAATGTGAGAGACAGTGATAACAGCAATGACTCTGATATCTGAATAAAATCTATGGATATTGATTTTTTTGAATAAATGTCGTTTTAGTTTTCCATTCAATATGCTAGTCATTTTAAGTATCATTAGTAAAAGACTAAATACGTTACTATCAATGTAAAAATAATTAAATAAAATCAAGTAAGTTTAATCCACAAAATATATCTAACTTTTAGGGATACCATACTAAAAAAAATTGAATTTGCCGCGCTTTTTCGTTAATTTCTTTCATTAGCCAGACTCTAACAATACCATAACAGTCATAAAACAAAAATCTGTCTAATTGCATCATTTGAACCTATCTATTTTCATCGCAGCGTTAAAACAATGTGGTTCTACCACATTGTTTTAACGCTAGAGACAAACGGTACGTTACTAAACTATTTATTAGTTTGAATTTTTTTATTAATAATTAGTGCTTCATTTGTTTGATTTGATTACATTAGCGTACACAGGATAGCATCGTATCATTAGAGGGAATAAAGTAAGGATCGGAAACGTATTGTATTTTTTTTATTTAGTCAAGTTTAGTTTTAGTCAGCAAGTTTGTTTGATTTTAAATATTATGTAGAAAAAATAATATAGGTTTAAACTTAGCAACACATGAACAAAGATAAATACAATCACTTTAAACAAAAATGGGCTCTACGTAGTTTTAAGTTACTGTCAGTAACATTGATTTTCAGTATGTCCATATGTGTTAGTTTTATATAAAGAATAGCTGACCCGGCCAACGTTTGTTATGCTGTGTATATTATTTGTAGGAAACATTTTTTTAGTTCAATAACTTAAATAACAATTACTTTCTACAATAATAAAAAATAGGGGTTGATCGTAGAGGAGTGAAAATTAGGAGTTGTTGTGTAATAACTAGAAATAAAGATAAAATAGCTCAACCATCTTTCAGATTAGCCAAAGTTCAAAATTCATTTATGGGGTACTGTGTGAAATGTTACAATAAAATACCTTGTGACATTTTAAAACTAAATGAACGAAAATTTAAATGTTTTATTAAAAGTACACTTTGTAAACAAGCATATTACAAATTAGATGATTATATTCAAGATAAGAATGCTTGGAAACATGCTGGTCCTGCTCCATAGGACAATCCTATGATTGGCTCTATAGCCTGGACAAAATCAAATTGGTTGCTGAATTTTTGCTAAAAAAAAATATGTTAATTTTTGTTATTATTATTTTATTTTTTTTAATTTATATAATGCTACAAATGTAATTATTTTTTTTTGTATCTCACACACTGTTTTGTTGTGTTTTTTTAATATTTTTATTACTCTTTAATGTTAATATTCTAAGGTTTCGATATTTGTAAATATGTGAGGAACATGTATACTAACTTTTTTAGTATAGTAGTTTATTCTAAGAGTACATTGTCTTCACATATAATTATTTAACAAATGTAACAAAATATTGTAAACCTATTTTAAAAGAGTAAGTGTGGAGTTTCTTGCCCATTCTTCTCCACACGAAACTACCTTTTGGAAGGGGCAACTAGAATCATCTTTATATATTTTTTTTTTGACGTTCAAAAGTGCCATTTTAGATGGTCTAATTGAAATAAACGATTTGACTTTGACTTTGACTTTGAATAAAAACAATTATTTTTTCTAAAAATAACAATTTGGAGTGGACTCCCCTTATCGCTTAGGGGTTTGAAAGGTAGATAGTAACCGATTCTCAGACTTACTAAATATGTATAAAAATTTCATAAGAATCGGTTGAACCGTTTTGGAGGAGTATGGGAACGAACATTGTGACACGAGAACTTTATAAATTCGATTACTTTTATTAAATGATTAATTTTATGATTTATACTTATATAAATAAATGTAAACTTCATTACCTAATAATTAAAAAACCTACAAAGAGACAACCTTCTTTGGTAACGAATTAAAGTAAATTTTAATTTTAATCTTACAAAGCACTTTGTATCAGAATTCTCGTGATTGATTGTGGGGTAAATGCCGTGGTAAATGGCTCGTGCATATTTAATGTACATTGGGACGATCTGTAGCTGAAATGAGCCGAAAGATTTCCATAATATTATCATTATCCCATCAATCGATAAAGATTAAGGGTCGAATAAAAAAAAATGGGACCATAAAGACTGGTTTGCCTAGAAAAAAAGGTTTAAGCTGAAAGAAGGGTCAAAAAACTTCATTGGAGAGTAACATTATTATTAACATGCACAACTATAGTGTAACTTAGTAATCTATATGCGACTATAAGTCGAGTCAAATTAAAAATAAAGTAAGTATTTTGCCAACTATAAAATAATATTTTTTGGAAACGGACCAAGTTAACTGTTTGTAGATAAATTGATCTATGTAAAGTGGATCCCCTGAACTTATAATATTGTCGCGAACTCGAACTCTGCTCCCATTTTTTATATGGATCCATCTAGATGAATGAACAGATTGTAAAAGAGGTTCTTCTAATGTCAATATAGATAAATAATAAAAAAATATATTAATATTATTAGCGTATACAATATGGAATTTCATCTTAAAGTTTTATCATAATGTTTCATTTTTTATCAATTGTTTAATTTTATATCGGGAATTCTAAAATCTATTATTACCTGAATTTGCGTACAGAAATATTTGAATCATGCTATTCAACAAAACCACAGTAAATTCAAATAGTTTATCACGCTACCTTAGTCTAAAACTTAAAGTAAGCAAAGGTTTCTGAATAGAAAGTTATCTGAATAAATACGGCAACGGGAAAGGGAACTCAGAGAATTACTTTGCGGTTCTCTTGTCTAGTTGATAAACTTTCCGACCATAAATGAAATTTAAAAACGGCCTACCTGTCTCGCAATTAAAAGATTAAAATATAAAACGATTTTACACAATAAAAACAAGAACTAAAATTTTATTATATTGCCTACCGTTGTTCGAAGCTATCAGCCCGATTGCTTCTATATCCGGAATCGTTTAGGCTTCCCTCGTGACGCAGGCTGGGGAGAGAGTCCCATGGGGAGCGGCGAGGACCAGAAGGCTGCTGCCCCCTCCACCCATCTGAGTGACGGTACCATGCAGAGCGAGCCGACTCTCCGATACACGATGCACATCTCGATGCGCTCACGAAACTACAACAGTTAAATCATCCAACATATTTGATTATACAATTGTTATAAAGGCAGTAAAAAAGTAGTAACTCGGGTAAGTAAATAATATGTAAAATAAAGTAATGGTCGAAACATATAAATCGAATATAATTTTAATAAAGTAATAAATAAATAAATTAAGTTTGTGAATTATATAATTTTAGTTTCATTAAAGAATAAAATAATTATTAAATTACTTTGTTTTTGAATTTTTCTATTAAAGCACATATAGCAGAGAGGTATATGTTCTATTTTTATTTTATTTATTTATAGTTCGTTCGTTTGTTTTCACTAGATAAAACAAATAATATAAAATTTATAAGGGATGAAACTATTTAATCAAAATTAAGCTTCATATTTTCAGAAGTTATTGATTTTTTTGGACCTTTGAAGTTTCACAAATTAATCATGATGGATATTAATATATTTTTCATGGAAACTAAATTTTCATCAAGATGATATAAAATTACATTTTTTAATTGAAGTCAAGTCTGGGAGCATACTTAAGGTTGTATACCATTAAACCATTAATTTAAAAAAAAAGTGACAATTTTGCTATCATTTTGTGCATTGTATACGATTCAATGTTGAAAAATACAACCAAATATCACAATCAATAGAGTTAGTGATCTGTAAGTCATTATCCATTTCCATGAAACTGTCCTCTAACAATTAAAAACGAAACAAGTTCCGTTAGAAATAAAAAGCGTGTAAGTTCTGAGTATGGACGAGGAAAAGTACTCAACCGTATACGATTGCACTCGAGCCCATACCTCTGAACCTACGTAATACGTATATTGCATTGCTACTTCACAAATATAGCCTTCAATGTAACTTCGCGTTTAAAGCGTTTTGTTGCCGAGCAATTTATAGCAACGGGAATGCGTATTTCAAAGCAATTATTCCATTTCCACAAGATTACTTACATTGTTTCAAATTTAACGCTGAACAAGTATGTGTCTTATTTTTACGTAATGTTCAAAAGTCATTTATTCATCTAGGTACAATTTGTACACTTATGCATGACAATTTACGCCATCTCACTATCATATAGCGGCATTAGTACCCAAACTTTGTTATCGTCTATGTAAGAACTGTGTAATATTCTTTTTTTATTAGGGTATCCTTGATTTAAAGTTTAAACTTATGTAGCGGAAGTTTTGTTACATGTTATATATCTATATACATTCCCCATAAATGAGTGAGTAGTTTTATATTAAGAAGTCTGAAAGCTGGAAAAGCAAGTCTATTCCTACTTATTGTGTTTAAATTGTGACAGTCACTTAGAAATGTCTTTATGTTTTTATAAACGTACATAATATTTTCATACACATATTGGAAGGCAACTGTTAAAATACAGATTTATTTAAAGAATTATCTTTAGAGTTATTTCTCTAATTACTATAGAGTTATTCTATAAACCACCATTATTGTGTTTGTTTGGGAATAAAGTTTACACAAAAAAGTTTAAAAGACCCGAGTGTTACAATAAAACTGTTTGGTTGTCGTGTATCTATGTCATAAATATCTTATAAACACGTCTTTTATATTCAAGTTTTTGATAGAAATATCAAGGACTCACATATTTCCCCAATTCCCCAGCGGTGCTTCACCGGGTAGCCATTGGGAAGCGAGTCTATTACGAGTTTAATAGCGACACTATGAGCTTTGGAGATTCTCTATCTAGACGAATATTTCCTGCATGTGACGTTTTCTTACATTTAAACTAGATGTCATTTTATCTTAACTATATCAACTCTGACATTACAATAATGTTTTGCAATATGAAGTTAATATGATTAAATAAATATAACCTCCAACTTCGATTTTGTTCCCTTTGGAGTAGAGACTCTTAGGCCGTGGGGTTCAAGTGCACAGGCGCTAATTAAAGATTTAAGTTGGCGCCTGTTAGATAGTATCGGTGACCTGAGCTGGTGTTTTGTTCGTATCCCAATACAGCGAGGAAATGCTGCCAGCGTTAAAGGTACACTGCCACAGCAATTTGCAATTTTAAATACCGTATATTTGATTGTTATGATTATTAATTAAATATATTCTATTTTTAATAAATCATTTCTCATTAAAAAGTTTTAAAGTCTCATTTATGCCTTATCCAATGATAAAGTCGATAAAAAGGTTGATTATCTTTGACTAAATTTCTCCTAACCTGGGAAAACCTGAAATCCTGAAACCTAACAGAATTTTTAAGCACATGACCAAATTGATAAAAATATATTTTACTAACCAATATAATGGATATTTCTACGTAACATAACACATCAGTGTGATAAAATAAGTGAACGATATAATCTCGTACAGTTTAACTAAAAATAGATCTAGATTTAATTAACAGAAACGTAACTCCAATGCCAATTCCAATCAAAAAGAAAAACACGAACAAATCAGAGGAAAATCGAATCGTCAACGGAAACTGTCCTACAAAGTAACGCGCACGTATTCCTCCACTTTAATAGAATTCCAAATTGTGTGCTGATCCTTTTCTAATACAAGAGGATTAAACGGCTTTACGGAATGGCTTCTGTCTGTCTAATTAAACCCGAAAGCTGGTATGCATAAATAGTAAGGAAAATTACGGCCCGTTTTTCAATATTTTCTCGGTAGTCTTGATCGGATTAAAAATTCTGTTGATGAAATATCCCGTTGTTTTCGTGTATAAAGTATGTTAAGATCGTTGTTTTGTTAGTGAATAGGATTGGTTTTTATGTTATCATTATATTATATATGTATATCTGTAATCAGCTGAGGTATGAATAATGATTAAACCCGAAAGTAACCCGTAACCCGTAAAGGAAATTACGGCCTGTTTTTCAATATTTTTCCTATTTTCCTGATAGTCTTCATTGGATTAAAAATTCTGTTGATGAAATATCCTGTTGTTTTCGTGTATAAAGTATGTTTCGATCGTTGTTTTGTTAGTAAATAGGATTGGTTTTTTAGATATGTTTATATCATAATATTATATATATACTTATCAGCTGATATTAATAAAATTTATGGTTTGCGCAGATTAGTCAAATATTACGTCATCTTCATAATTGTATGTCTTATTTATATTATAATTGTTAAGTTGCTACATTTTTATGTTTCTAAAAGCATAAATACAACACAATTAAAAAGCTTTTGATATCGATTGAGTTCCTATTAATTATTCTCATTTTATGATTAACAGCAGGAAATTCTTTGCAGATTTCAACTTCGTATTAAATTTCTTAGACACTCCTGTCTTAGAGACAATTCTTTCTCATTTCAAAATATAACGGATGATTTATGAAACAAGTACATATACATGAAACCTTTTTCGCTACGAAATGAAGGTGAAATTTTATGCAGTACACACATTTTGCCGAGTGATCTCTAGCCGTTCTCGTGAATATTATGAATGCAGTATTATTTCGATGTCAAGGCTTTTAACATTTTTGTCTTTATTTTATCGTGTTTTCAATGCTGGAAATGAAAGAAATATATATTAAATAGCGATATTTAAATGTCGTTTTAGAAAAATAGTGTCAGATAAAAAAAATTTTTTAAATAAAAATACTTACTGCAAATATCTAAAAGTATAACTTAACCAAAAGGAGATATTATTATAATGCATCGGATATGATAACAATGTGTGTTTCAAATGTTTGAACTAGCTTTTTCCTTCTCATATTTCTTTTTACACAATAAATTACGATTTTTTTTTTACTTTTGTCTTTAAATATTTTCCAACCTAAGCTCTATAAAATAAATAATCCAAAAGCGCTCCAAAATTACATGCGCTTTTACTTAAAATTTTTGAAGTGATACTTCTTTTGGCGCGTTAGGGAAAAATGATGAGAGTCACACCGTCACAAAGAACCCTGAATATATGTTCAAACGTCGGTAAAACAGTCTGGGCTGCTAGTTGGCGCTGGCTCTGTTTTATCGACAAGTTGCATTGTCTGCCATGGCGTAGTTTTTCAGAGTCGTTTTTATTTAAACCATAATAATGATTTTTATACGAGACAACCCGTTCCAATGTGATAAAAAACATAGTGTTTATTGTGAAATGTCTGGATTAGTAGGGAGAATGCAATTCGAAGAGGGAAACGTCGCTCTAAAGTGCTCGAACAAAATTTTTACTCCAACTATTACACACACTTTTTTTTTTAAATTCATATGGAATAGGCTTCCTGCACCCGACACAGGTCGATTTTTGGGTTTATGATGTGCTGATAACATCACGATGTTCACCTTTATATAAAAAAATACGTACGGCCAACATAGAAATAAATAATTTGTCGTACATTCAGGAACAGTAAAATTAAGTTCAGAATGGGACATCTCGTTCCAAAATTACGCGTATAAAATGTTTTGGAATTGAATCGAGTCCAAAACGAATAATTCTCAAGAGGGTAATCCTTGAAGAAATGATGCGGATAATGAGATAAAGTTCGAGTGCTTGAATCTACGTAAAGGAGTGCTTAAAATTCATCGATCTCATTCATATAACGAACGGTAAACGTATGTAAAACAAATCCATACGGTAGAAAGGAAGACCAATCAAAGGAGTTTTTATATTTTTAATTAATTTTTATTTTTATGCTACTAGACCAATGAAATATTTAATCGTAATTAAGGATGTATTGGATTTTGCTATACATTTTTAGTATACCTTATTAAAGGCAAAAAAAGCAGAGTTGGCCTAGTAACATTCGCTCGAATGGTGAAGGAAAACATCGCGAGGAAAATCGGCTTGCCTTAGACCCAAAACGTCGTGCGTCAGGCACAGGAGGCTGATCACCTACTTGCCTATTAGATTAACAAATGATCATGAAACAGATACAGAAATCTGAGGCCCACGCTTAAAAATCGGTTGTAGCACCGCTGATTAATTTAATTAAAAGTGTTGTAAGTAAACATTATAAAAGCTAAAATTTAATTGTGAAGGGACTTAAGTTAATTCTATGCTAATCGGAAAATATAATTAATAAAAGTAATTAAGGTATTTTATAGTATTAAATTTATGGTAATTCTTTTTTTAAATTTATGCACAGATTATATGCATTTTTTGAATCTATGCTGTACTGTTTAATTATCTGTATTTAAGTGTACAGCCTTATTATATGTTATTTTATAGGTGTTGTGATGGATTAAATTGTACCTACTTAACTTAATAATATAATACTATTATTCAGACTTAATTAAGCCTGATTTGAGATATATGTACATTTTATTTGTTTTGTAGGTTTAATGATTCTATTTGTGAACTTTACTTAAGTCTTCTAAAAAAATGTGTAGCAGTCAGTTAACTCTTGACCAAAAATTTATTTTACCAAAATGTTTGTACGTTCTAATGTGTAGAGTCGTGGTGGCTCATTTTTAAAGAAACTTACTTAAGGAGCAAAAATCCACTCTAACTCCCTAAAGACATTTTTTTTATTAATTGTATCCCTCTACTTGGAAACTGACAATGCAGGCTAATCACGCGTTACTAATGAATTTTTTTAATTGCTATTATTTAAAAGTTTTACGTTTTTAAAAAACTTTAATAAAACCCTTCGCTAATAAGAGCTTCTTCCAAAGCTAATTTAAGAAATCTGTATTTTTTAGGCGCGTGAAGAAGTGCAGGAATGCGAAACTTAATTTATAATACAAAAAAAATGGTGCGTGTACTAATGTACGCGCTTAAGAAGTTATACTTCTTTGGCTTTCTTTTTTTTTTAAATATTAAATAATTAATAATAAATATTTAACGTGAATAATTTAATAATATTTAACATTTAGTACATTATTCAATCATTAATTAATACTAATAATAATAATCATTATTATTTTATTATATTATTAATTCAATTTAATAACTAGGTATGTTTCATAACCTTTTAACTAAGTAACAATAGGTCTTTGTGAAAAAGCATTGCTAAATTTCTTTGAACAAATAATTAAAACTCCTTTATTTGTTTAAAAGGTACTACAAATGTCATTATGGTCATTCAAAATTCTTGGCATAGCTGCTAACTTCACACATATTCTATTTATTTTTACTTGTAGATTGTCTTATTCCCATCTCGCTCGCGCACGCTCGGCGCCCATACTGATAATTTTATGTCACGGTGCGCGCGCATCGTAAAATTTCACTCTCATCAATTTTTCATAACGCGCCTAAAGAAGTATAACTTCAAAAAAACACAATCTTAATATTAATGAAGACTGATGACTTATAATGTTATCAGAGAGAAAAAATTCAACTCTAATGTAAAGGTAAAACCATGATTATTAAAGATGACGACACCAAAGTACAGTCAACGGATCTTGTTACTATTACTCTTTGAAATGAAACATCATAGTTTTAATTTAGTATATATTTAGCCTAGGTTGATAATGGTTTTTATTCATAAAATTCAGTCGTAATAACTGCATTACATAAATTGGTGTATAAAGAATTTTATGATGCACTTACCTTGATTGATGATCACTCAGGTAACCCTGGTCTCGATCTCTCACCCGATCTCTGTGAAACAAATTAGTTTAAAGTACAGAAGAATTAACTAAAAATCGTCCGTAAACGACTGTGCTGTATGTATTAATAGTGAGTTTTATTTATTCAAATGTTATATTAAAATTTTATTTCATGAAATGGCGCTGGACCGGGCACATGACGAGAGATAGCAGGTTGAAATGGACAAAAATACATATATTAAATTTAATTTAATTAAAAAAAAATATACAATAAATTACAGAATGGCAACCACGCGATGGTAAAAGGAAAAGATGAAGACAGAGCAAGAGATGGGCAGAGAATATAAAGAGAATAGGAGGCACAACTTGGACATGAAGAGCTAACATCTGAAAAGAATGGAAGCAGCTGGAAGAGGCGTATGTGTCACAGGACAAGCTGATTACCAAAAACGGGACATATGACGTATTAGATTAAGTTGTATTATGTAACATAAATAAGTGTTAATATATTATACTGGGTGTCAGCAATAAAGGCTTAATAATAATAAATTGAGGTATTTGCTACCGCGGCTAATAAATGGTCTACCCAATCAGATTTTAGGTTGCCTAACGACAACCAACATAAAAAGTAAATTAAAAAACTACTTTTATATGCATTTGTCGCGCTCCTAAACAAGACTGCTATGGTTACATTTATACAAACCACAGCGGTTTTCTAATGTAACATATTTATTTTATTTATTTATTTATTTTTACTTTTTATAGAATCTAAATGAAATTATTTTTGTAGAGGACTTTAACCGTTAAGCGGAGCCGAAATGTTTATCTAATTAATTAATTTCGCTTATTCATATTATAAGATTAAAAGCATTTGGTCTGGTTAACTGATTTAATCAAACACGGCGGCGAAAGTACATTCAACTTTAGCCTGCCGTGGGCCCTTGTTATAATGAATAAAAATCAAAGTAATTAACTAATTGAAAGCTACAAACCTTGTATTATGATCACTGAGATACCCTCTCTCCCGTTCCCTCTCCCTCTCTCGTTCCCTCATTAATTCATTGCGATCGCTAAAACAATGCAAAATATAAAGAATTTTAATCAAAAGATTCTCAAAATACACCGCAACATTCTATTCAAACAAAAGTTGGTAGAAAAAGTGAAATATCTGGAGATGTATTGATTGTACCGTAACAATGAGTCCAGACAGAACTTCGCCGATATTGATTTGAATAATTCATAAAATCCTGATAACTTTCGAATCGAGTAAATTAATCTACCGAACACTTATTAGATTTAAATATTAAGTGAATGTTTAATGCGCAAAAATAATCCATTGGAATGACGCAATTAAATATAAATTTTGTTTGAATTGGCGCCCAATTTACACCATTTTAAAAATCGAACACTGCAATGACTCGCTTTTATTAGTGGCTGGTAATTCTCTTTTTAAATTTATCCACAGATTAAATAATAACTAGCGTTAGCTTGTATTCAGTATGGAATATTTTTTTGAATATTATCTTTTGATTTTTGTGTTGTTATTAATTACTTAATTATTTGTGGTTATTTCTTGTAATGTTAAACGTCAAATATTACACAAAATTTATGATACAGAGGAATAAAGGCTGTAATTGAATACTTTGACGTTCAGCAGACAAGTCCTCTTACAACGCACTCCATCATAAATATCTACCGCAAAAAGCCATTCTTTGTACCGCAGTTAAGCAAAAACGCGCCCTCATATTAATAACACTTCAGCTAAGTAGCGTTAATTAAGATATTCGGAATGCTCGACATAATTTTTTCTGATAAACATTCCTTATAACTGTATAAAAAATTAGTGCAGTCTCGGCTTCGCCCGGCTGGATAATTTTATTATATATGTAGTCGTGGATGTGAGAATTGCATGACATATTTACGGCGTTTAACCCGCTTCTAGGATCGATTCCTAAAAAAACATTATCAGCTAATAGAAAAACTGAAAACGGATACACAAAGCTTCTGTTTCAAAACTAAAATAAGACTGCACTTTTTTTGGCCCCCATTTTGGAATGTCAATCAAACTTCATCATAACAATCAGACTAGATCAAGGGCTGTCAAACGATTTCATCTGTATGAAGTTTGTCAAATTAGAAAGCGCTCAAGACGAGATTGTGACAGGAGATACGAATTACATTTATATCGAGTCATTTCTTCTCTTTCCTGAATCCTTTTGAACGACATCTCTCCATGTTTTAAATTCACGTAAAAACACATAGCCAGAAAGCTAAGTATTTCTTTGAATTGTCGTCAACAGTAATGTCGTTAAATTAGTAATAATAATAATATTATTAATAATTAATAATAATAATGCAAATGAAAATTGTTTTTTTTTTGTAAATGATCGGATATGAATGAAAAAATCCGGAAATTCTTGGTTGGTTCTCAGACCTTTTGCCGTTACGCAATAATACGCAGATAATTCTGTTAAAATTATTAAACTGATTTAGTTTTTATGAATAGGCTTAGTTTTTAAACGATTATATCTCGTGAAATAAACATATTTTTGATTTGCATTTTTGCCTGACTCGGATTATACACAGTCGGCACTCCCTTAAATTTTAATATCGGCAATTTAAAAGTATGAGGCGTGACTTGCTGAACTTTGTATGATCTATAAACCAAAACCCAGGGTAAAGTTTCGCTTATCGTAAAATGTACTATTTACCTGTAATATCCATCGCGGTCTGATCGCGCACTGTGCTGCCTTTCCACCCCCATTCGATGCGGAAGCGGAAGAGTTGATGAGCGACTTCCTCCGCCTGAACATTGAGATCCAGGACCTATGTCGGAAAATACATAATCAGCTATAGAACCTATAGATTCTATGGAGTCATAGTCTATAGCAAGCACATTTGCTATCTATGAATTCATAATGTATAGTAGTTTTGTACTTAATTAGTCATCCCAGTATACGTTTGATGCTGTAATAACAGGAAATTTCTGTTAATTGATTTCAAGGAAGTTACGGGACCTTTTACCCAATGGGAAAGCAGTGTTGGCCTTGTGGCTTCAGCGTACGACTCTCAACCTTGAGATCGTAGGTTCAATCCCCGGGTGTGTGTGTATGTGTGGGTGTGTGGATTTAACATTAGCTCGAACGGTGGAGGAAAAGGTCGTGAGGAAACCTAGATGCAAAATCTCAGGAGGCTGATCACCTACTTGCCTATTAGACATTGACAAATGATCATGAAACACATACAGAAATCTGAAGCCCAGGCCTGAAAAGATTGTAGTACCACTGGTTTTATTACCTAGTGGGGCAGATATATTTCTACGCTTATTTAATTTAATTTAAATGTAAAGTAGCCTTCTATTTTTACTAAACCAAAGCCATTTTATACCACCGGGAGACGAGTTATTCATCTAGGCAGAGATATGTATGTATTACTTCAATATAAATAATTATTAATACTTACGTCGTCGTGGTGGATATGGACTCCGCTGATTAGAAGGTGGTAGATTTTCGTTGTATTCTAAAACAAATGCTTTATATATAAACCTTAAGTACTCCATTCTTTTTATTTTTTCATAGAACAGGGGGCAAACGGGCAGGAGGCTCATCTGATGTTTAGTGATACCGCCCATGGATAGATACATTGCCAGAGGACTCGCAAGTGCGATGTCGGCATTTAAAACCATAATCCTGTTTTTAAAAACTAATCATTTTCCACTGTTTTAACCTAAGTACTCATTCGTCTCTCGTTTTAGAAATGTGTTTATGCTGTGACGACAATCACATGTAAATATGGCAGTATCTATGTTGATAAGTAAATATACTTAATAATAATTAATTTAAATACAACGTTGGGTGATTTTCAGCAATTGTAAAACAATTGAGAGATCAATTCAATTCGTCAATTATTGAGCGAAGCTCCCATGCGCCCACTCTTATGACACTCTGTACAAACACTAAGGCTTTTGAACGGCTTAACCGATTTTGAAAATCCTTTTTTTAAATTAAAGATGGAAACATTTCCCGTGCTATGGGCTATAAAAACTCAATAATATTTACGAATAAATGACAAAATAAGCGGAAAAACAACTTCGAATGAGACCTAAAACTAAAAAGTCCTTTCAACAAAATCATATCTTTAAATTAAATGTTTTGAATCTATGTATTTTTACTCATCATTAAAAATTGAGTTGAACACTCGCTCCGCTCAAATTTGTGCTGAAGCGAAGCAGAATTGCGAGCACTGCGGCGTCCTAGTATATTCTTATTTGAGGCTATTTGAATTATGAATTACTGTGAGTTCACGTTAGTCTTCAATGCTAGTGGTAAGTGGAAAAAATAGTACACAAGAACAGCGTGTCTTCCCCTTAATAGAGACTGTAAGTAGTCTTATTGGACACATTATCATGTTAATTTTTTTATAAATAACTAGTAGACTCGGCCTAGCGTTGCTGTGGCTAAGGTTTTTGTTATATTACATAGTAGTAAACTATTCAAGGGAAACGGTATGAGAACACCAGTCAGGGGACCACCATGCTTTTTTGGTGGTTATGTCATTAAATTGTAGCTTATGTTAAACGTTGGTACTTTCAACACAGCGCCATGTTAGAATTGTGACTGTCAAATAATAAACAAATAATTTGCAATACAATTAATAATTTGTACAATACGTGTCTCATGTATGTCAAGTTTCTATAAATTATTGGCATAATGAAGCGCTTAGCTCTATTTCTCGAGTCTGAATCGGAGGCTTCGCTGGTCATAAAATGTTTTAATTCTGTGAACGTATTTATAGTCGACTTTAAAAAATACAAATGGTCACACGATATTTATCAAACTGTATAATTGATGCGAAATGTATACGAACGTATAGAAATCATTACAAAAAAATGAAACTGAAATTTCCATCACCACTGATGTAAAAAGTTATAAACAGTTAAAATAATAACAGCCTTTATTGCTGTCAAATACTTATCCTAGGACATAAAAATGTGAAGTACTATCAACAATAATAATTAATGGGCAAGCCAGTTAATTTACAGCTTGTCTTAGGTCATAGTTTTATTATGCAAAATTTAATTTTTCTCCCTTTGTTCCCTTTGGAGTAGAGACTCTTGGGCCGTGGGGTTCAAGTGCACAGGCGATAATTAAAGATTTAAGTTGGTGCCTGGTAGTTAGTACCGGTGACCGGAGCTGGCTTCTTTAATTGCTTAATGAATAAGTATCGCAATACAGCGAGGAAATGCTGCCAGCGTTAAAGGCACACTGCCACAGGGATCAAACTTTTTAAATTTTCTTTTTATTAGTTTTTAATTTTTGAAGTGAAACTTCTTTATCGGGGTTGGAAAAAAATTTAGTGTAACATTTTTGCGTTACGTGTCACATTTTTCCGTTACGCGCCATGTTGCTTTTTGAAGTCAAACTTCTTTATCGGCGTTAAAATATAACACCTATAGTATGTTTTTGACTTGAAGTTTGACAACGGATTACATTTTCGAAGTCAAACTTCTTTATCGGCGTTAAAATATGACATATAGTATGTTTTTAAATTTGAAGTTTGACAACGGATTACATTTTCGACTTGAAATTTGCTAATCGCAATTTGCAGCAATTAATTTGTAAATTGTATGCTAGGCAGTGTATCAAAATTTACTGTGTTTAAAGAAATAGTTTCGGACCTCTAAACCTAAAAACAAACCAGTTATGGCTCTGCGTACAACAAAGGTTTTATATAAGTTTCACTTCTTACGTGTGTACCTACACCTAGTACACGCACACATTTTCTTTTTTTTTTTCTATGTAGGTTAAGAAAATTGTAAATACTCTATATTTGATTGTTATGTTTAACTGGGTTTTCCTAATTCATTTATTATGGTTTTTTTAGATTCGTGTGTGATTATTTATCGGTTATGCATTCTTGTTGACTTAGGGACTTAGTACTAATTAGTACGGGATTGTGTTTTTAGTAAATAAATATTTTACTGAACATGTTTTTTTTCATCTTTATAAGAAAAATAGCAATAAGATGTAATTACCCAAGTCTTCCATGCTTTGACTCAAAAGCGCCTCAAATGTATGCAAACTGTAGCTCTCAGCATCCATTCCCTTAGCTAGTGTATTTCTTAGATGCATCTCATATTCCAATAGTAGGCGTGATGTAGGAGAACCTGGAGCTGGAGTGGCGCTCTGCTGCGATGCTTGGCGCGAGAGACACGGCTTCTGTTGACCATGACGACCATTAATTTAACACTACCTTCAATTACATAAGCAGAACACTTCTCAAGCAATCTCTTTCAACCACTGTAAGGAAAAATGAAATAGGATTAGCGCAAGAATTGCAAAACTACTAATAAAATTACGTAACTTAAACATACCTAAAGTCAAACAAGATACGATATGGACAGGATATACGTATAGGTCGGTTATCGAAAGCTGGCGCGTACACAGTACTCACACTAATGCAATTTCACTATACAGTATGTTTAAAAATATGACTTTTTTGCCAAGCTATATATTTTAGTCAACTCTGGTTTTAGTAAGGTTGGGTGGGTTGTAAAATAAATAAAAATGTGTCAAATACATATAAATATTATGTGCATACGAGGGTGGATCCAAAAGGTCTAAGCCCGACCAAGAACGTGAATATTCCCGTTCCCGTTTTTTTCATTAAACTGTTTTTATTAAGATGCTTAAAATAATTGAAAACATTGTGCACCATTTCACGAGATTGCCCTGGTAATGTTTGAAAAAAGATCAACATGTTCAGTAAAGATCAACATAAACATTAGCAAAAGCAAAACAATAACTGTCTCTTTTATACTCATAAGCTTGACCGAGCGCGAGAGAGACGGACAGTCTTTTCATGATGTATTTGTGATTGTATTTCAGTTTGACATCACGCCTCGCGCTTATTCACAGACACAAGCACAAAGTGTTATTTCAAATCAATTATGTTATTAAAAAAAATATTAATATACTAACCTAACCTAACCGAATAATAATACATTTATTGGACAGCTCCGGCGCTACGGGAAATGCGGGAAACGAATTAACAAACAAATATGGTGGCGCGGGTCATATTCCGTTCAACCAATCAGCGCGCGAGGTGCGATCCGTTTCACAATTTGACGGTTTCACATCGATAGATTACAATCTACCGAATAATAATACGTTAAATTGTAAGCAGTTCGTTGAGGTTCACTATCTTTCGACAGTTTACAATCTCGCGAGATAGATTACAATCTAACGGTGTTTACAATTTTACGGTGACATATATATATAGTGCTCAAAACAATTAGCGGAACAAGATTTTTCTCCTTTCTATTGCTTAAACTAAAATTAGATTTAAATTAACTTGTACGCTATTTTTTACCTTGTTAATTTATTAATTACTACAATTAATAAAAAAATTCAATTTGTATTTTTTTTATTAAAAAAAAATTAAAATGTGCATTGTAGACGAAAAACTAATTGGTGATAAAAAGGTCCATCAAAAAAATATTCGTCTTTAGTGACTTTCAGTAACGTGTGTGGCCTCCATGAGCCCTAATCACGGCTTGACAACGACGCGGCATGCTTCGTATGATCCTCCGAATATCTTCTTGTGGAATTCGCTCCCATTCTTCAATCAACGCTTCAGTGAGCTGCTGCAGTGTTTGAGGTGCAATCGGACGCTTCCGGATACGCCTGTCAAGCAAGTCCCAAATGTGTTCAATTGGATTTAGGTCAGGGCTCATGGAAGGCCACTCCATTACACGGATTTCCTGCTGTCGTAAGTAATCTGACGTGATGGCTGCAGTATGCGGCCTGGCATTATCTTGCATTAAAAGAAAATCTGGGCCCAAACCATATGCTGCGGGCCAAACATGATCTTCGAGCACATTTTCAATGTAAGTTTGAGCACACAAGCGCCCGGGAACAACGACGAGATCTGTGCGCTCGTCCAAACTAACTCCGCCCCAAACCATCACAGAGCCACATCCAAATTTGTCATATTCCTGGACTGCTGCTGCACTGTATCGCTCGCCTGGGCGTCTGTAAACACGGAGACGACCATCGCAACGTGTTAGACGGAATCGTGATTCGTCAGTAAAAAGCACTGGCCTCCAATGTCGAAGTTGCCAATTAGCGTGATTTTGCGCGAACTTGTTTACGTTGCGAGCTTGTCTATATTGAATTGTTAGACGCACAGCCCGAACTGGTCGGCGTGATCTCAAATTGGCTTCCAACAACCTATTTCTTACCGTCTGGTCGGAAATTTCTACACCAGTAGCCGTCCGTAGTGTATTTTGTAGATCTCTTGCAGTTGTGGTGCGGTTACGTAAAGCACAGTTGACGATGTAGCGATTTTGCAAACGTGTAGTTTTTCTCTTTCGACCTTGACCACGCCTTCGTGAGTATTCTCCCGTCTCACGGTATCGCTTCCAAAGTCTGTAGATAACAGAAGGGGCTACTCCTAGATCATTTCCTACATAACGCATAGTTCGACCCTCTTCAAGCAAAGCGATAGCTCGGGAGACATGCAATTCAGTCAGATCTGGCATTATGACCTAAACTCACTCGCTTCAATGAATAACAATACTCAAAAGGCTCACTTCAATTTCTATTAAAGTCAAAGTCAAATCGTTTATTTCAATTAGACCATCTAAAATGGCACTTTTGAACGTCAAAAAAAAAAATATAAAGTGATCTAGTTGCCCCTTCCAAAAGGTAGTTTCGTGTGGAGAAGAATGGGCAAGAAACTCCACACTTACTCTTTTAAAATAGGTTTACAATATTTTGTTACATTTGTTAAATAATTATATGTGAAGACAATGTACTCTTAGAATAAACTACTATACTAAAAAAGTTAGTATACATGTTCCTCACATATTTACAAATATCGAAACCTTAGAATATTAACATTAAAGAGTAATAAAAATATTAAAAAAACACAACAAGTGTGTGAGATACAAAAAAAAATAATTACATTTGTAGCTTCTATAAATTAAAAAAATAAATAATAATAACAATTACATTTTTTTTTTTTTTTTGCAAAAAATCAGCAACCAATTTGATTTTGTCCAGGCTATAGAGCCAATCATAGGATTGTCCTATGGAGCAGACTAGAATTAATACTCAAAAGATTGAAAAAAAACTACTTAAAATGTGTTTTCTGTGATTAGAAAGTAATGAAAATTCAAAGACGTCACTTTGTTTTTCGTCTACAATGCACATTTTAATTTTTTTTTAATAAAAAAAATACAAATTGAATTTTTTATTAATTGTAGTAATTAACAAATTAACAAGGTTAAAAAATAGCGTACAAGTTAATTTAAATCTAATTTTAGTTTAAGCAATAGAAAGGAGAAAAATCTTGTTCCGCTCATTGTTTTGAGCAGTATATATATATACGAGTTCTTATAAAGTAGTTGATTTAAAAGATGAGTGAGCATTTATCTAATTTTTATTGTTTTTGATATTATCGTGCGTAGTATGTAGTATGAAATTTCTATAGTAATGGTTCTACTGTGGAAAATGCAATTAGATTAAGGACAAGGAGACAATGACGAGAATAATAATGGAGACCATAGTATGTAGTTGTATAGAAATTCTAATTAACGGTGAGACCCTAGGCGTAGGTAGAATGAGAGAGGTTTTGCGAAGTTATTTAGTAATATTGCTACTATATGATTTTTACTGCTATTTGTTCCTAGATTATAGGGATCCTATTTTTGAAGGGATTTTTTTAATAAAATTCAGTCACTAGCCTTCGCCTACCTTTATCTGTAAGTATAGTTTTTTTTTTTACATATTAATATTTTACATACGAAAACCGCTGTGGTTTGTATAGCAGTCTTGTTTAGAAGGACAAATCCATATAAAAGTAGTTTTTTAAGTTACTTTTTATGTTGGTTAAGAGCGCGGCCACACGATGCGGTATCGGTGGCAATTATTTCGAGCTATAGGGTGCCACACGGGCGTTGCGGTGTGTAGGATGACGTTGCGGCACCGCTCCGGCACCGCACCGCACCGCACCGTTACCGCATCGTGTGGCCGCGCTCTAACGTTAGGCTATCTAATAACTGACTGGATAGACCATTTATAAGCCGCGATAGCAATTAATACGGTCTTTCGCCATATACGTTGTTTGCTCTCGATGTACAGAGCCGAAGTTGCATTACCGCTTGGGTCTGTACGTCATGCTCACTGCGTTTTTTTATGTCATCTCGAAAAAAGTACTCGACTAGAAGACATTTCTCTATCTAAGCTGTATTTCAAAACGAATTCATTTTATTCCGTGACGAACAATTTTCAAAATTTTCCTTATTACGATATTTTTCGTCTTTTTGATATATATTATTCATTTCGCGTAAAAGATGCCCCAAAATGTTTTCTACCTCGAAAACCACCAGTTTCTTTTAAAAGAACTAAAAAAAAATCTAAATTTTATTGCGCACGCTTTCAACACTGAAGGTGTCACCGTTTTGATAATTTTAACCATGCTATATCAAAAAAGATTGCGATACGCATTATTCCGATTTCATATATTTTCTCGAGTTTTATTTGCGGTTTCATTTGGAGTTCACGTAAGCTGGTATTTTGTTCTTTTGTTAACTGTGTATGTATTTAGTAATACACGACTACATATAATAGTTTCTTAATGATAATCTTTGATTGTGTGTAGCTTAAACCATTTAGAGTTTATAAAACAATTTTTGAGCGAAAGTATAGCTTTCATTTTTATACTTTTTTTGTACAATATGTCTATTCCTAGTGTAAATTTTAACCTAATAAGCCATACAGAATCAACAAAAATCATACCATATGGTGATGTTGTCTCGGATCTCTGCGTTGACAATGTTCTTGGTCTGAGTTGCCATTAGACGACGAGGGTGTGGTAGCATAGCATTGATTGTCGAACATGACGTTATCTGAGGGTGGTGACACATCTCTCTCGCCACCGCCCAGCTCTAAATACAGTCCACGCCCGGGATAGCCACTTGGGGCTGCACCCACGCCGACACCACGGCTAGAATATAAATCGATCGATTTAAACTTTATACAACAACATCTTCTCAACCTGTCCTATGCTCAAATTCTTGTGCAACAGTAGTTTAATTATAACATTGTAAGTGTTATGTAGAATTTACTAAGTCAAGTACCTAAAATCATTAATATTTCAGAGGGAAGAGATTACCTGCCCACGACACATTCAATCCTAGTGACTAGTGGTCAGGGGGCTAGTGCACTCTCTCTTTTAGCTTTACATCCTTTTGAAGTTATACCTACTTCTTTTGGCGCGTTAGGGAAAAAAGATGAGAGTATATTTTTACGAGGCGCGCGCATACCTGTTCAAACGCCGGTAAAACAGTCTGGGCCGCTAGTTGGCGCTTGCTCTGTTTTATCGACAAGTTGCATTGACTGTCATAGCGTAGTGTTTTTCAAAGTCGTGTTTATTTAAACCAAAATAATGATTTCAATACGAGAAAACCCGTTCCAATATAATAAAAAACATAGTGTTTATTGTAAAATATCATGATTACTACATAATATATCGTTTCGATTGGAAGTGACCATTAAAATGAGCAAGAAAAATCCAACTCGAAGAGGGTAACGTCCTTCTAAAGTGCTCGAAGAAAATGATTACGCCAAAGAAGTATAACTTCTAACGCGTGTAAAGTACACACACATTTTTTTTATTATGAGTAATATTTTTTTCTTTATTTTTCTATTCATATTGCTTTTAACATATGCAAGATTAGAAGGTAAAGCCAATGCATACGTTTACATTTTTATTCAAATTTAAATTTGGGTTTCATTTTCATTCTTCCGCTTTTGAAAGAACATCGTCTTCCCCGAATTCCTGAAGCAGTAAATATATGTTTCGTGTGTAAGCAAGTTCTTTTCTTAATCTAAACTTACCTAGCAGACGAATACCGCTGTGACGACTGCCTGCTATTATTGTTGATGACGTGTGTGTAATGTCCATGGTGGGGATGGCGGTGTGAGTGCGAGCAGGAGGAGGGACAGGCCGCGTACCTCCTGCGTCCCATTTCTGGGGACGTGATGGGACTCTCCGTAGAGGGCATCGGTTTGAGCATACGTTTCAGCGTGTTTGGGTCTGTAACCAATGATTATAATTAAGTAAACTTATTAGAAACACCTTTTTACGTTTATTGGTAATGGTATACACCGCATTAACGTATTTTACGGTATGTGAAAAGTCTCTTTTCATCACAGCGAAAATACAATTTGACGGAAAGAGACGAAAACGTACTTTGGTTAATAGATTACAATTGAAATTTAGTTTCTATTAATAATGCTTAATCACTGGCAAAATAATAGTTGTTCCAAAGAGAAAAAGTATTTTCACATTCGGGAGATTGTGTTTGTCATTTGACATGATATTATGTTACAGTATGTTTTTATCAGAAAACTAAATTTACAAGTTTTGCATATAGACCTTTCCTTTATAGTAAAATCTCACGATCTACGGTTTTTTAGACAATCTACATATCCAGATATAAACTTATAAATTACATAAAAAATATGCTAGCCGCTTCGGATTTGCTTTGGCATGACTCGGCGGTTCCAAAAATTAACCCAGACATAGCAACTCCCAGCCACACTCAAGTGCACTCTCACGTACACACACAAATTAATATACTCATTCATTCGTGCACACTTAAGGTCTAACACGATTTTTTGTTTGATTAGATTTAACATAGACCACTTTTTCTTAAAAAATATTTTTATTTATAACTTATATTTCTTTTAAACATGCACCATGTACAACGGAATCTAGTCGCCCAAAACACAAGGGGTGCCTAGTGTGGGCAATAGCGTTAGATCAATTAGGTCACAACCATATCTTGTTATGAATAATGTTTATTATTATAGCAAAAAAATCATTTAATTTTTCATTAATTTACAGTATTGCGCGTATGCCGGTTACTAATTAATACTTCTAGTATGCCTTAAGTATCGATTTTTGTATAGCTTTATATATATATATTTATACTCTTAATATGTACCTAATTACCAGTCGTGATTGCTAGTAACTTAACGATGTTTACAGTCGTACTTTACGAGCGGTAATTTTAATATAGAACGCAGGAAGTGATTGTTTAAAACTACTAACTTTTAGTTTATGATTCTAAATCATTATTATTAAACAAATTTTAATTTTAATTGTTCATTCATAATTCCGTCATGTACTAAAGGTAGGCATGCCGCATGTAAAGCACACCGAGTGACTTAATTATAGCATTTAATACATGTACATGTGGACAATTGTACATGTGGACAGTGAAATCGTAGAGATCAAAGCGATGGTACTACATAACTCAACCAAAAGCCCTCACAATCTATACTAAGAGTTTACCCATTTTACCCGGTTTATTTGTCTTGGGAGGATACATCTAATTAGAGATAAGGGACCTTGCAATCGTACTATATTTTTTTAAGGTCCTTAGAGCTAGAGTACATAATGCGGAAAGAGACTGGGGCTACGTTCTAGTCACATTCGACGTGGTAAGTAGTCGCAATTGCTAGCAGTGCGAGCGCGTACAACTTTTAATGTTTACTTAGGAAAGTACCAATTACGCGCCTACCTTTAATATTTTTGCATGCGAGACTGGTCTATTTTTGAAGTGAAACTTCTTTATCGGGGTTGGAAAAAAATTTAGTGTAACATTTTTGCGTTACGCGTCACATTTTTCCGTTACGCGCCATGTTGCTTTTTGAAGTCAAACTTCTTTATCGGCGTTAAAATATGACATATAGTATGTTTTTGACTTTGAAGTATGACAACGGATTACATTTTCGAAGTCAAACTTCTTTATCGGCGTTAAAATATGACATATAGTATGTTTTTGACTTTGAAGTTTGACAAAGGATTACATTTTCGACTTGAAATTTGCTAATCGCAATTTGCAGCAATTAATTTGTAAATTGTATGCTAGGCAGTGTATCAAAATTTACTGTGTTTAAAGAAATAGTTTCTAATAAGGTCATAAAGAAGTTTCACTTCCTACGTGTGTACACCTAGTACACGCACACATTTTTTTTTTATAAACAGGGACCCCTACATCATAGCCTATCATGCAGATGTGTGACCGAGAAGCTTTCCTAAAAAGGGACTTTATTAACTTTAAAGGGTTGGTTGCGACCGATTTATTTAATTGCACACTGTAGTATTGTCTTTGATTTACATAACCTTTACACATTTAAAGAAAAAACTGTTTGATTTTTGTTTATAATAATACATAACTTCAATCCGGTCAAACAGTTTTTTCTTTTAATTGCACACTGTCTGAATTCACAAGTATTTTTGGTTTTATGTTTTCTCGTTTTGTTTTTGTGATGTTCTTAGATTAAATTTTGTATTAATATTTTCTATTGTAGTATTAAGTTACTGTAAGGCTGTAAGGAAATAAATATTAAACATATTTTAGAATTACCCATATTCATATCTTCAGTGCTTTTGGACTTTGTGCGACGCGAACCCGACGTGTTGTTGTTAATCACGTTGTGGTTATGCATATGTCTTTCTGACTCACGACCCTGAAAACATAATAAAATATATGAATAACTATTATTTTATATTAATAATGTTTGCTGAAAGGTCGTCCGTGTCCGTGTTACCAATAATTATAATATAATTGCCAAGTACGTGATGTATCTACAAATATCTGTACTTATAAGGGCATCTTGTGGTTCCTGTGGTCGTAGGTTTGATCCCCGGACTTTTTTTCTATTAACATGCGGGAAACATCGTAAGGAAATCGCCTTGCCTTAGACACAAAAAGTCGACGGCGTGTGTCAGGCACAGGCTGATCACCTACTTGCCCATTAGATTGACAAATGACCGTGAAACATATACAAAAATCTGAAGCCCAGACCTGAAAAGGTTGCAGCGCCACTGATTTTTTTTTATCATATTGGCTAAGGATAATGTATGTATTTTTGTGAATAAATAAACTTTCGATAAGTTATCCACTTATAACCATTTTTCACGCTATAAACCATAGCCAATATGAAACAGGAAACTTTGTATATAACGATTAACTTACCGATTCATTGCCGTCTCCATAATCAACGCTCTTAGGCATATGCTGTAGATGTTCCTTGCCAGCACGAGTTGATGTTGCTGATGATTTGGAGGATGTCAAAGTGCCTCCAGCTTGAACGCCTTCAGATTTCAAATCTTGGCCGTGTTGATTTGTCGATCCAGTGCTGGACACTTGCGTGGTCTCTTCGGTGGTCTGCAATGAATAAGAAAAATATGAATTCGTTATACTTTTTAACTTAATGTAATAAAAATAGTTGTACTAAGTAACCCCTGCTAAACTACGCGCAACATAACTATGTGGAGCCGAAGTATTTTCGAACCTATTCGACCTTGAGTTCTTCAAGAACAGCCTTGCGATCCTGTAACTCACTTTTCGAACTCACACAGCGGTTCTCGCAGCGGTGGTCGCGCTCAAATCAGTCATGAAGCAGTCATTTTATGATTTGGCATTCTGATAAGGAGGGAGCTTGTAGTTTATTGCTTATCAGAATGAACTGTGTGAGTTCGAAAAGTGAGTTACAGAATCGCAAGGCAGAGCGTACCAATTCTTAAAAGGACAACGACCTTGGGTGCCTTCTGGCAGTGTAAGTGTCTATAGGCAACGGTGTCAGTTAAACAAATATTCATGCTTTAAATAGTTTCAATTGTAATCCAGAATTAATTAAGGCTGTCATCCGTGTTTACATATTGTCTTGATAAATTCAGCTAATAACTGAATATTAAACACTCAGTGATTTGTCTGCTGTGTTTTTTAATCTCGTTTCCAAAAATCATACTACCTAAATTTACGTTAAATGACTGAGACCGTCTTAATAAACTGAGACTGTAGTCAAGTTTTGAACAACCAATCACAGGTACTAGATATTCGAATGTATCTTCAAATTCATTTGTTTTTATTTTGATCACACGATATTATGCTTGATTGTACGTAAAGTATATTTCTTTCATGTAATCAATTTATTTTATATTAATATTGTTTACTTATTTTATTTTAAATATGAATAAAGTATAAACTAATTTCAATCAGACTAATATAGACACATAAAGCCAACCTTTTAACAAATAAAAAATAATAAAAAATGTGTGCGTGTACTAGGTGTACACACGTAAGAAGTGAAACTTCTTTATGACCTTATTAGAAACTATTTCTTTAAACACAGTAAATTTTGATACACTGCCTAGCATACAAATTAATTGCTGCAAATTGCGATTAGCAAATTTCAAGTCGAAAATGTAATCCGTTGTCAAACTTCAAAGTCAAAAACATACTATATGTCATATTTTAACGCCGATAAAGAAGTTTGACTTCATAAAGCAACATGGCGCGTAACGGAAAAATGTGACGCGTAACGCAAAATTGTTACACTAAATTTTTTTCCAACCCCGATAAAGAAGTTTCACTTCAATAAAAACAAATTAATTTTAAGATACATTCAAATAGAATCTCTATTACCTGTGAATGGTTGTTCAAAACTTGACTGAGTTTATTGAAGACATTTAAGGGTTCGATTTTCGGGAATAAGTTTAAAAACCCAGCAGACAAAAGTTAATAAATACATGAATATATAAATCGATACTAATACAAAGCTAGGGACTGCAAAGCCACTTGCCACTTATAGTAATAAAACATACCGTATTTCCATGTGTCCCAACAGAAGCAGTTACAGTCTTAGGCGCTGTTGAAGTATTTGTTGTCATCGTAGATGTTTCTTGGGACTTCGGCGGACGAGCTGGTGGTTGAGTCTCACTTTGTCGAGCCGCGGCTGTGCAATATGACAAATATAATTAGCATCATAAATATTAAAAATAACCTGGAAGAGTTTGATTCTCGGCACAATATTGGATTTCAGAAAATGATACACAATAATATCTTTATCGGATAAGAAATAGGCTATGTAAGCATTTTATAAAATGCTGTGCAAGTACAACCCTATATGGGTATTGGCCTCAGATCATTTTTATTTCAGCCCTACAAATGTCATCGATTTATGGATTTAGACATGTCGATTTCCTCACGATGTTTTCCTTCACCGTACCGCCGAGTGTGCACATTGACAGAAATTGGTGAACAGGCCAACACAAATTTGTATAACATTAATAACACTTTTGTTATATTTAGCTAGCCTCATCCTCGTTACGCATAAATAATCCATAAACATACTTAGAACGTACTATATCGTATTTACCTACAATATTAAAACTCTCGTTTTATATTGGAATTTTCAATACGGAAGTCGTTAAGTCTAAGTTTCAATATAATAATTGATAGAATGTATATTATGCGAGGAACACAAACGTGGTATTAGTGAGTATTAAGCTATTATTACATTTAACTACTTACGTTTAGGCGGCTGTTGAGCGGGCTGAGTTGTAGCAACGTTGTCGTAGAGCGATGTGGATGAAGTAGCAGCAGCCACCTTGTCCGAGCGCCCAGCTGCCGCCGCCGCGTCTGTCTCTATAGCCCGAGTGGTGGTACGCGGTAATGTTGATGAGCCTACACGCGTATATGCGTTACTCATGAGCCTCCAAATAGGATTAAAATTATGTATCAAATTATATCTGAGGCCCATGAGTTTGGGTGCGACGTTACGCAATTGCTAGTAAGTAATTTCGATGAATAATTATGAGTTTATGAGGGAGATGCTACTATTTCTCCGACCTAAGGGAGGATCCTCGACTGGTCTAACTGGCCAACTCGAAGGTCCCAGTGGCTAAAGTCCAAAAGTTGTATACACAGACAGCATTTTACTGATTGTAGCTATTAATATCTTGCTACAAATTTTATTAATCAATTTTATACCAGATACTATATTAGTAAGACAGAAATACTCGTATTATTTATTTTGAGTGCTACAGACCAACAATCCATTTGAAGTAACAATACACAAATATAACAAGTAATCTATTTTATATAATAAGTACGGAGTTTTGTTTTCTTTAATTAATTATTATGACAATAGAGTTAAATTAGAATAAGATATACTCACGGTATCTTGGATCCTGTGCCCTCAGCCTGGCGTATTGCTCCTGGGTCATGCAGGTGCATTGTGGTTCGCGTCCGTAACTAAGACTATTTATCAATTATTATAGCTCTCGTGAAATATTAGCCTGCCCCAATTAAACTATATGTAGAGACATAAGAGGTTCTAACTATTTCTGAATGTTATATGTTATGTTTATATTTAAAGGTATTTTTGATTTTGATATTTGTAGGTTTTCGTAGTACTTTTATACTTATGTGGTAATTCATTCAGTAAAGTCTATGAATGGCCTAATTTTGGGGTTTACTTAGATTAAAAACTTTATTTAGCAGTTGGAATTTATCAAGTAATAACTCATTGTATATACCAGTATCAACTTATTGAAAGTGAAGTACTATCCCTATTTCTAGTATAAAATAAGAATTTACGACATTTGTGACAATCATTCATGTCACTGACTCCAAGACAATGAAAAGAGCATTTAAACTGCAGGTCTCGGATCCGATTTATGGCAAAATTTATTCTAAACATAACTTTCAGTGGAGGTTTACGAGTTTTCAAACATTCATTACAAGACACTAATAGCCAATTTCCATAGCCCATTGTGGTGCTCGCTATAAATGCCTACGTTTAGTGGCGCTAGCAACACGTATGTCAACTGTCACTGCAATGACAATTAACACCTCTGTCAACAGCACTTGTAATTTAAAAAACATAATAAATAATTGTTGAATTACGATAATTGCATCTGTTCTACTTTAAATATTGTTTACTAACGTAAATATATGTTAATAGAATGTATCTTCGGTACCTTGATCGATTTGGACTAGCTGGTGTTGAGACCGGTTTCCTCTTGGTCTTGAATTTTTGTTTGCTCCCCGGCGGCTCTAGCTTCAGGCTGTAGCTCGAAGATGCCTTCCGTGAGAATTTAAATGAAGGCGACTATAATAAAATATCGCGTGATGAATGAATCATAGCTGGTAATGATCTAATAATGAATGGCATACAACTAGCGGGATCTAGCAGGGAAATACTGATTAGAAATTTACAATTTTATCACGTATTTTACATATTAATAGATCTAATCAACGCTGTTGAAAACCTACCTAGTCTTAGAAGGGAGAACGGGCTATAATTAGGTACAATTTAAAAAATTAATTATAAAATTTAAAAATTATTACAAAGGTTTAATCATAATTTTAGTTTATTATAATGCGTGTCAAGCTACTATATTTTCTTCTATATTTAAAGAAGAAATATAGCTTTAAGGCCTTTTTAAGACCTCTTACAGGCCCAAACTCTTAGAAAGTTCGTGCAATCCCGTTTATATGATGAAGATGTCATTTTTGTGTTGAATTTTTGATGTTGTGAAAAATTATTGGTCTTAAAGCACAAAACTTAATTTAACCTCTTCGCATGCATGTTGTTTGCAATACAAATATATTAAATATATATAGCCTTATGTTGATGAATCTACACGCGAGGCCTATTTGGGTAACATTCCGAGTCAAGACGGGAAGTGACATCTGTCAAATAGTCAAGATTTTTTCCGATCCTAGTTCGCGCTTAGGCTTGTCTGTGAATATTACCCTTAGGGCTAAACTACTGCAAAAGCTCACCAAGTATTTAGTTTATTTTATGTTTGTGTAAACTCAACAAAAAAATACAATGAGTTTTCATACTTCAATAATTATGTTACAATTGCGTCTACGTGAAAATGTAATGCTGCATAATAATGATTGTAAACACTATGTATGACATAAACGAATTACTATGAATTATTTTTATTTCGACCCTAGTAACGCAAATTTATATTTTGTCTTTAATATAATGCATTAGTTACCTTTATTATATTAACTTAATTTATTCAAGAACATTATATAATGATAGATCGACAGAAATATAGGTTTCATTTCGTTAGTCCGGTGAATGAAAGTTTATTTAAAACTTAGATGCGCCATATATTGTGTGCTATAAATATTAATGAAAAGCACAAGCCCTTTCCGTATCTCCCCATATTCTCAAATGTATTTTATCATCCATTGAGACTTTATTTTTAACCTTTTATATAAAGACTAGTGGACCCCACAGACGTTGTCCTGCATGATATTTAAAGCGATTAGGATATTAAGCAAAGTATGAAAGTACCGACTGCAGTGCCATCTGCCGGGCTGATTTGTGAATCTAAACCATTCCCAGATCCCCTTGAACACACACAAAAAATTTCATCAAAATCGGTCCAGTCGTTTGAGAGAAGTTCAGTCACATACACACGCACACAAGAAATATATATATTAAGATAAAGAATTCTCCTTGGTAGTATTTGCGTGTTTTTCTCACGGTAATGTGAGTTCTTGCTCCTATTTCACCATGCCTACTGCTGATAGACCGTTTTCTTTTTTAGTATTGTAATTATTTGCTTCAATGTATTATGTGAAGCATGGTCTAATTACAAACAATTTGTAAAATAAACTTGGCATTTAAAAAGAGTAGCCGAGAATTTTTGCCATTTGATCTCGTAGCAGAAAATGTAAATTTAAATGCTTAAAACTTGGCGTTCATAAGTGTAAATTGATATTTTGATTTTGTCACAAGCATACTATTGATTTATATACATTTATTACCGTTAGTGCTATACAAACAAAGCAAATGCGTTCAAGCGTTTATAACGCCAGAAATAAAATACTTACGCAACATTCTCTGAACTGCTTCGCGTCTATAGGAGATGTGAAGTTTAAGCCCCAAGTGTCGTTGGTCATTGGATCTTTCCAATACACAAAGCATTCGGATGCTTGTCCAATACGAGTGCCTGAAAAAAAAATATATTTTTTTAAATCTCGGGCATAAATTTATTTTTATCAGGATCGAAAATATTTTTAAATATGTCATGAGCGTGTAAAACCAGCAAGCAGCTGGCAGTAAATATAATTAAGTTTTTTTAATGAAGTTCATCTTATTACCTCTACAAATACTAAATGACAATTTATCACTTACACCAATAATTATATTATTATTAGTTTTACTCACGCCTAAAAATATTTTACATCTTAAAGTCCTATAAATACGAACCACAAACAATATATTATGCCAACTAAATTATTTAAATTAATTAATATCCTATCACCATAATTTAAATGGTTTTATTAAAATGCATTTATATCGCTTTTGATAACATCAGCTAGATGTGCTGCTGATAGTGTTTTACATATTTATTGTTTTATAAATATATTTTTTTCTAAACAAATATACAGTATCATAATTACAATTAAAGTATACAATTTTCTTGTGTCTACACTTTAGACCCGTCTCACCTCCCTTGGACAAGCAAAAAAGCTGGGGCGGCCGCAGAGCAGGCGGAAAGTAATAAAGGGCTAAAATATAAGAGTATTTCCTTCAACTTCGATTTTGTTCCCTATGGAGTAGATACTCTGGGGCTGTGAGGTTCAAATGCACAAGCGCTAATTAAAGATTAAAGTTGTCGCCTGATAATTAGTAGCAATGACCCCAGAGCTGGTGGTTTCCTCGCTCAACTAATAAGTATCGCAATACAGCGAAGAAATGCTGCCAGCGTTAAAGGTACACTGCCACAGGGGCATACTTTTTAAATTTGTTTTAATTTTCTATTTATTAATTTTATTTATTATTATTGATCAGTTGTACGTTTATATTTTTAATTTAAGCTTAAATTCGTATGTTAGAAGTCTATGAACTATGAATCTCAAATGCTAAAGTGTTTTGTTTAATAACGGCACCGATACGCAACTGAAATGCATTTAATTAAAGCTTTCAACATTGTGCATGTAAAAGATTTCAATATCGCAAAGAGGCGTCGCGTTCTACGCTCTGTACGTGGATTTCGCTCGATTGCCGTGTATCTGGAGTAAATTTAAAACTAGGTTACAGTGGCGGCCGGCTCGTATTTTTGTGATTTTACACGTTAAATTCAGTTTAACGTTTGGAACAAGTTGTCTTTAATGTTATCTTACTTTGTTAGTTATGTTTTTTTAACGTAACAGGGGACAATCGGGCTCCTATGACACTGCCTATGGACACTCAGACTACGCTCTTTTCTTGAAAGACCCTAAGTTGAATTGATTCGGAAATATGTACTTCATATTTATCTAATATGTATGAAGTCCAGGAACGAAATTTTTTCGTCTTTATAAAACAATGACTTTTAAACAACATTAATCCCGAAGTTTTATTATCAACTGACGTATCAATCAACATGTTTATAAAACTCATTTGAAGATCTCAACATTATTAACAAATAGCACTTGAATAATCAGAGCCGCGATACGCATACCTATTTCTTATTTGGTCAGTTATTAAATTCATTTGTACATATTTTACCAACGCTAATTCATTTAAGCCCTGGATTGTATATTTTATAGAATTATCATAATTTTGTACGCGTGCGAAGTCTGTAATGTATTAGGTAATATTCGATTTGATATAAAATATTTTTTATAACCATAAATTAAAAGGTACTATATACAAATCTAAAAGATCTAAACAAACCACTGACTTTATATTACTGATCGAACATCACCAACAAATAAACAAAATTTTAAAAAGTGATGGTTTTGAATTTATCATGACATTATTAATAATGTAGGGGAGCCCACGATGCTAAATGAGGATATACTTGAGTGTCATAGTGCGAAGCTTAGATAATAAAAAGCAAAAAAAATTATATAATGTATACTTTTTCATCGGTGGGGGAGCGGCTATAAAATTTCAAAAATGTAAAAAAAACTATGCCATGGACATACTCGAGTGCGTCAGTTTAAGATATACATATATAACCACCACCGACACCCTTGGTGAGGTGTTTATGCCTTGACTGGCGGCCATACATATGGGGCTCATATTATCATCGAGGTACTTCACAGGGTACAAGGTATCCCCCTGTATATTAATCTGCCAAGCTCCAGTAAATCCCGAAATCCCCACTTCGGATCCCTTACATCACAAGAATCACACACACAGGGATCAGAAGAAAAATCATCTAATATCTTAAAGGGAAATCTGAATAAGTATTCGATAAAAGACCGTAGTGCCGTTATTTAAAAAATCAAATGTTATCAGTTATTTATGTTAAAGAAGCAAAAGTATAAATTACATAATTATATATATTTCAAATTTTCATTATCATTTCATGTCGATTAACTGTTTTACTATTGAATAAAACTTTTCCATATGCGTCGTAATTAGCCTTCTATGCTTTTAAAAAATAATAATTATATATCCCAAAACTTACCTAAATTGTTTAAACAAAATTAAATTACTGAACTTCATTAATATATGTACCTACTTCGAAATCCCTTGACCACGTGACAAATGATTCTATAAGATATATATACTCTCAGTTAAGAGAGTTTATGTCATTTATAAAAAAATCAACAAGCCCTATGCAACAAGTTTTAAACACATCGTTAATAAGATAAATAGTAATTAATCACTTCAACTTCTATACTCAATTCTTATCAATCCCAAAACTTCCTCTTATCTTAAAAATGAATTCCAATTCTCAAGTCTTTATAACCATATGTTACGCTCCTCTAATAGATGCTTTATGGAAATTCCATCTCACAGCTCATCCTTCATAAGCAGGACTCCATACGATTGGCTACCTCCCTAACATCTTTTAAAACTCTTCTAGATAGATATTTATTAACCATATCATATCCTGCTCAATCGTGACTTTTGTAATTCTTGTATTTCTTATACTTTTGTATTGCATCGCAATTAATAAATCCGTTAGATTAGGTTTTTAGTTTATTTTGTATTATTTTCTATTAAGGTTGGTGATTCTATATTTTTTTATAATATTTTCTTATTCACTTCTTGCACTTTACGCATCATATTTCTTTTTTTCGTTTTATTTCCTTACTAGGGTCGCCTGGAAGAGATCGCTTGTAAGCCATAAGGCCCGTTACATCCCTTATAATTTTTATGTATTATGTCATTTGTTTTCAAATATAAATAAATCAATAGTCTATTATTAGTATTATTGAAGACACAACAGCCATTAGTTAGCACGTTTAATTTTTTTTAAACATATCTCAAGACAATCGTAAATAACCTTGTTTTAAAAGAGCTTGTGACGTTTACTCTAAATATCTAATACAAATTACATACCAGGTTGCAATAGTCTAACATCAAGGATTTTGTCGACTTGGGAGTTGTATGCGGTAATATGGAACACGCATTCTGGCGAGTCCTGTATGCAGGTGATGTTCACAGGTACCAGGTCTTCGGATACCTGCTGCCACTTCACGGTGCCAGCACCACTCGCTGACACGTGAAATACTTCTGCCCAAAGTCTGGAAAATTTGGATTGTTTAATCAGATTTTCATGGTACTGTTGTATAATTCTTTGAGTATTTTTTTGAAGTTATACTTCTTTAGGCGCGTTATGAAAAATTTATGAGAGTGAAATTTTACGATGCGCGCGCACCGTGACATAAAATTATCAGTATGGGCGCCGAGCGTGCGCGAGCGAGATGGGAATAAGACAATCTACAAGTAAAAAGAAATAGAATATGCGTGACGTTAGAAGCTATGCCAAGAATTTTGAATGACCATAGTGACATTTGTAGTTTTTATAGGAGTTTTAATTATTTTTTCAAAGAAATTTAGCAATGCTTTTTCACAAAGACCTATTGTTACTTAGTTAAAAGGTTATAAAACATACCTAGTTATTAAATTGAATTAATAATATAATAAATAATAAATTTATTATTAATATTAATTAATAATTGAATAATATACTAAATATTAAATATTATTAAATTATTAACGCTAAATATTTATTATTAATTATTTAATATTTAAAAAAAAAAAGAAAGTCAAAGAAGTATAACTTCTTACGCGCGTACATAAGTACACGCACCATTTTTTTTTTATAATTTGTTCAAACGCAATACATTCATTAATTATTCAATACATAGATGGAAACTTCTAAGAATGTCAAGAGGAATTTTATGTCCAATTACCTTGGCATATCAAAACAGGATTCATATTACTTTTTATAGAACTTTTAGACGTTTTTAACTTAAAATATACCTACATGGTTACCAGAATATAAAACTCCCGTGTTTTATAGATAATATTATCTGTATAAAACCTCTTTGTTACAAAAAGTTTGAATTTAAATACGCTGTAAACACTTTATAACGTCATTCGTTATAACGCAAAACTCTCTATAACGGAAAATTAGATAATATTATTTGGTTTAACCCAATACCCATACATTAATTCCTTCCTCCCTATAGCGTATTTTCTCTATAACGAATAAAAATTCCTCGGTAACCTGAAATTCCTTATAAAGAGTTAACACTGTATTCCTTTACTTACCTCAAGAGATGTCCATCACGTCGTCGGGAATTTTGCCACGGGCTGTCCTCATAGCGATATGCTTTGCGGAGGATTGGTGCGCAGGAACACGACAGTTTGTTACCCATCGTGCGCGCGCCGCATTCGGCGCACTGAACTACGCTGCCTGCAATATGTGTCGTTTGTATCAGGTTTTGTAGACGATTAGAGGCATATAGCTAGTTAAAAAAGTAACGTATTACATCATATAACCTTACTGAAATATAATATAAAGTTCCGTTCAACAAAGTAAGGATTCGGCGTAAATATGGTACAGTGCACGTAAGCTAATCAACCGCCGAGTTGCAATGCACGAATATATCTATAAATGTTTAGTTTGTTTATATATCTTTGGGATTTTAGTTAGCTAAGTCAACATTCAAAATCAACTAGACGATTCGTTAAAAACTATACGATGTATCCGTCCAGACCGAGGACAAAATAACGTTTTAAAAACTTTCAACTAATTTGTATGTTTTCTTCAAAGTCTTAGCATTTTCATATTGATAACAATATAATGTATTTATATACACCAGTGGCGTTTCAACCCTTTTAGGTCTGGGCCTCAGTTTATCCGATTCATGATCATTTGTTAATCTAATAGGCAAGTAGGTTGTCAGCCTCCTTGACACCTTGTTGAAGCCTGTTGACTTTTTGGGTGCAAGGCAAGCCGATTTCCTCACGATGTTTTCCTTCACCGTTCGAGCGAACGTTAAATGCACACATAGAAAAAAGTCCATTGGTACACAGGTTGGGACCAAACCTACAACTTCAAGGATGAGACTCGTACGCTGAAGCCTATAGGCCAACACTGCTCTAAATAATGTATATACACTATATATATATATATATACGCTGCTATAACATGATTCCTAGTGAAATATTGGAACTGCCTTTAAACAGCTTCAAAACACATATCAAAAAAACCTTAATATGTAACGGTCACTACACAGTCAATGACTACCTGGAAGACCTTACCTACGCTTGGCAATAGTTGTAATTATATTCTTATAATTTGATTTGTGTGTAATGGTGAATGTGGTAAATCACAGAACAGATTTTTATATTTTTTTACTTATATAACTTTAATGACGTTGTGGTTTATGATATTTTCCTTGAATAATTGTAATGTAAAGGGAGGGCAAACTTGCTGAGTTTCTTGCCCGTTCTTCTCAGAACAAGGCCTCCTGGTAGTTTTGCGAACGGATGGCGTAGTCTTGTTCTTGCACGAATTTTGTAAACGTTTTTGACATTCATAAGCATGCCCTAAGACGCATCTTAATTATTGAATAAACGTATTTTGATTTGATTTGATTGATATGGGACCACTGACGTTTTTAGTTTTCACTTGTGGTTTAGCACTAACTTTAAAAATGACACAACCTCTCACCTTTATTTTATCCCTTTGGGAATGTTTTAATTATACGTGTTTAACTACCAAAACATCGAGTCTAACTCCAGTAAATCTGATAAATCTAAATATATAAATATTTCATCACTCACCGGTTATTGACAACGTTCTTAGTAAGGCTGTATTCTATGTATGGATCTTATTAGTGTCAACTCATTACTGGTAAATAGCCGCTACTTTAATTTGCTAGTCTTTGACGTTGGCATATACATATTTTAACATACTTAGCAAATCCGAGGAGGATTACTTATTTTAAGAGGTTTATATGGTATATTCTTTTTTTTATTTTTATTGGACAATTCACACCAATTGACCTAGTCCCATGCTAAGCAGGTGAAGCTTGTGTTATGGGTACTAGGCAACGGATATATACATATTATAGATTGATAGACATATAAATACATGTTTAAACACCCAAGACCTAAGCATAACACCAAATGCTCATCACATCGATGTTTGTCTCAGCCGGGGATCGAACCCGGGACCCATGGATTCGCAGTCAGGGGTATTAACCACTAGACCAAAATAGCCGAGTTTTTTACTATGGAAACCAGTTCAAATTTTAAAATTATGACGTTTCTACGTTCACAGATATTGTTTAGGTTGTGACAGATCAATATGACATTCCCATGTTATTGATTTTAATTATTTATTTGTCATTAGATAGCAACAAATTATCACCTTTTATGTCTTATTGCACCTTCTATTAACACTATGATAATTCTTTTACATAAACTTGAAACAGACATTGAATTATAACATGAAACAAGGCAGCTTTAGGATGGCCATTAAAAATAGTAATGACACAATTTGGCATATTAGTTTCTGTATTGTTAGCTAAATGTTTATTAATTTTACTTATATTACGTAAATAGCGAACTTTTGTAGTTAGTTTTATCAAATGTATGTTTTAAAAAGGAACAGTGTTGCCTGTGCTTCGGTGGCCCCCTGGGTCGGGTCCTGTGCACCAATGGACTTTATTTCTTTGTGCGAATTTAACATTGGCTCGAACGGTGAAGGAAAACATCGTGAGGAAACCGGCTTGCCTTAGACCCAAAAAGTCAACGGTGTTCGTCAGGCACAGAAGGCTGGTCATCTACTTGCCTATTAGATTAACAAATGATCATAAATCAGATACAGAAATCTGAGGCCCAGACCTAAAAACTGTTGTAGCGCCATTGATTTTTTTATGTTTTAAAAAAGGTGAATTGTTTAAGGCCAAGTTTATTTTGTTCTGTTTAATTTATATAACAATACAAACACTTGATCTCTCCAAAATCGATCGAATCTCATCAAAAATATTCATGTCTGTACGGTATTATTTTTGTTGAAGTATTGTTCCACTCACCCGTGGTCCCGTGATGTCACCAGGTCGCATCAGAACGCGACAAAGAGTGCCCACGGTTCAAACTCTGCGAACGCTGAGTGCCGTGTCTATGATGATGCTTCACACCGCCATGCTGCAAAGTCATTACGTCATCTAATTGTTGATCTAGTCGTGACTAAGTTAACCATTTTGAACAAGTATTTATTAGTTATGTTTTATATATTACGATTTTATATTTGTAAGCGGTCATGCATAATATGAAACTTATTTTCAAGCTTTATATAATATTATATTATTAATATATAACATATATAAAATATTAAGAAATAGGTTTCATATAATATACGTATATAATGGCACGTGTAAAAAGCAAGCAAATTAATAACATAAAATATTATAACATGAATATAACTAAAGCTAAATCGCTAAATAGGAAAAATATGAATTTGATTCTATAAGAATGTTCAGTCGGGTGTTTTAGTTAAATATTTTATTATATTACGAATTTAAATTATTATAAACTATAACACACTAATTATTCGGCTGTTGAGTTTTCGTTTGCCGTAACAATTTAATTTATCAAACGCAATTCAAAGTATGTTACTATTTATAAATTTGTGGGTACTTTAAAATACTACCTATATTCAACATCAAATTATGAAAAAAAATATCACATCATGTTACGTTCTACAAGATATCAAAGGCAAATCCATTTCTAGCCAGCTGGTTAAAAGACTTTTACAGTGTTTTTGATTTAGTTAGAAGCCCTAGGAAGTAACTATGTGTGACGCTGACCTACCAGGCTCTAGAACGAGGCACTTGTCAATTGTATATGGTATAGAAACAAATGAACATCACCACCATTTCGTTATATCTACCTTTTTGCATCGTCAAAAGTACTTGGGTAAATAGGTCGCGAGGTTATATTTTCAAGTTCATATTGATTTTATGTGATATTCCTAAGTCTAGGCTATCAAATAAGAATTAAAATTCAAGAGCCGCATTTCGTTATTGACACCGAGTCTTCTCCCTCAGAGGGATAAGTTATGTATGTATAAATGTGGGTCAATCCTATAAACCACTAATGTTAATCGGTACGTAGAAGAGCGAATTCCCGAAATGGATGTTGCTAAAATAATGCACTGTTAAATATACTTTATTGTACCTACTTTGCATTCATATTTCTAATTGTCTCTTCGTTATAACTAATTAAATAAAACATTATACTAGATTTATCTATGGTATTCTTTAACATGTATTTTAAAAGTGCGTGATCATGCATACGTATATTCATCACATATATCATAACTGTGCAATTCATGTATTTATATTTATTATTTTATATTCGATTAGTAATTAACAAATGCCTACTTTAAAGGAGTACAGAAGGGAGTGGATACAATCACTTTCATGTGCAAATTAAACGTATTACGAACCTCGAAATTATTCCAATTTTGCGAAGAAAATTTAGCAGCCTCCACACTTTCTTTAGCACCCATGGCTCCCATAACTATCGTACCGCGGTATCACTTAAAATGAGTTATGGCAATCGTATCGAATGCGAATGTGAACGGCTCGTGACACTGTGATGTGCGCTACGACTGTGCTCTCTGCAGAGAGTCTATTTGAATAAACTTTAAATACCTCTAAGATAGCTCGTTCATAAAGTTTAAATATTCACAGCGGCGAATGTAATATGAACGGTGTATTGCAGCGAGCAAGCGCACGAAGCGAGGGCCCGTGGGTGCAGGCGGAGGCGTGAGGTGCGGCGTGTAAACACCGCCAGCTGCTGCGTCGCCCGACAGTGTCTGCCGACCTGCCGCCTGTCGACTGCCAACTGCCGATCTGCCCTAGCCGGCTGCTGCCCGACCGACCCGCACCTGCCCCGGACCGCTTCCGCACTACTCTACCGCTACCTAACCACCTAGCCGACTAGCGGCACGATTACACCATTCTATCTCTAAATGCGTATTAGATATGCGTCAACACGGTACGGCGAAGTGCGAAAGGTGGACACCGGCGGCCCTGTTAGACATCAGAGCGGACTGGGTCGTGAGTGGAGCGTGCGTGGCGGCGCCGCCGCGCACGCTCGTCGCCCGCCCTCCCCGCGCCCGCCCAATACCCGAGACGCACCGACGCCCAAACCTAGCGAAAGATATGACGGCCAGCGCCCAACATTTACTTTTCTGTTTTCAGGTTTCAATTCCAACATCAACCTACGATATAGCAGTAATTAAAAAATGCAATTAAATATATAGAAGCACAAAGAAGGGTTAATTGTCACGTCAAAATCTCTATAATATACAAGTTGTAATATATGGCGAAATTAAGAACATCATCAATGAGTTGTCGGCACGGAGGGGCGCGGGAGAGATGCGCGCGCACCATTTCCGAGACATTCGATTTTGGTCCATGACTGTAGGATGCTTACTGTGGTCCACCGAGTGATTTAATAGTTATTTTCGGCTATCATATTATATAGAAGGCTTAGAAAAGGCCTATCTAAGAATTTTAAAAGCACATACCATAAAACAACTTTAATAATAAAACGATAAATTATACGTGTCATTAACAAAATTATTTTAATAATCTGATACCGCAAATTTAAAAAGTATTTTAACTCAATCTTTGATTATATATAATAGTTTAATTTAATTAGTTTAATGAAACTAAAAGGGCTAATGAAATGAAATAATAAATTAATATAATTTGTATCGTGTAAAATTAGAATTATCGAAGAACAATTCATGCTTGCTTTATGAGAAACTACAATTTGTTTAATTGCATCTAGTGCGCTAGCGCATGGTACTGTCATTTAATTGAAAGCATTCTAAATAAAATAATATTATTATTGAACAGGAAAAATAGTATAAGCATAGCCTAAAAATTATTTTTTAAAATTATGATGGAGATGCTTGTTTAATTAGTTTATAGTAATTTAAGTCTCTGCATTAGAATGCGAGAGATCACGCTTTATGTTCATATTACAATTATCTGTTTTTGCCACAGTTATATTACGTTTACATAAGAGCAGTGTTGGCCTAGTGGCTTCAGCGTGCGACTCTCATCCTTGAGGTCGTACGTTTAATCCACGGCTATGCACCAATGGACTTTCTGTCTATATGCTCATTTAACTTTCGCTTGAACGGTGAAGGAAAACATCGAGAGGAAACCGACTTGACGATGACCGACTCAAAAAGCCGATGGTCTGTGTTAGGCACAGGAGGCTGATCACATAATATACTATTACATTACAAATGATCATAAAACAGATACAGAAATCTGAGACCCAGAAATAACGTGGTGGTAGCGCCACTGTTTTTTTTATATATTACTTTTAGTGTTTACATTATTATTCTTTTTATGTACAGCTTAGGTTGAGATATGAATCTAATTATTGATTATCCTTTTTTGTTATAGCTTTTATTTTATTTTTGTCTTTTAATTTATAGATTTAACCGGTTATTTTTCAATCGGAAAACTGTTATAACTACGAGGATATCGGGCTTAATTGCTCACAAGCGGTGTTTTACAGGAGTCATAAGGATAATATGAAATTTAAAAAAAATCACGTTGAATTGATAACCTCTTCTCCATTTTTTGTATCCGTTTAAAAATATTGTAAAGTGCAAGACATGTGAAATTGCACATAAAATAAAAAAATAGCCTGTCTTCGAGAACGATAATTGAGTTAACGTTATTTAATACATAAAAACTCTATAAATAAAAAAAAAAAATATATTAAAAAAAAAAAAAAAAAAAAAAAAAAAACCTAAAAAATAATATTTTTTACTAAAAAAATTTTTTTAAAAAAAAAAAAAAAAAAAAAAATTTTTTTTAAAAAAAAAAAAAAAAAAAAAAATAAATTTAAAAAAAAAAACTATTAAAAAAAAAAAAAAAAATTATTTTTAAAAAAAAAAAAAAAATTTAAAAAAAAAAAAAAAAATTTTTTTAAAAAAAAAAAAAATTTTTTAATTTAATATTAGTACACGACGTCCAACGGAGTGAAAGCCAATTCTACCACTTTTTTTATATTCGCTACTATTTTCCAATCTTTCCCCGGTATCTCTTTCATTTCATCTTCCCAGGTTTCTGGTGGGCGTCCTCTCCTTTTTCTTCCCACTCATTCCAAGTCATTCCAAACCCATCTGTGGGCATCTCATAGTTGATTGAATTTAATTTCATTGCCCTAACTTCAAATAGTGTAGTCATTCTAGTATATGGTATTTTTCGTACAAAGTGTGTTACCACCATACATATGGATCTTGTAAAAAATGTGTAAATATTTCAACTATAGTGGTAATACATTCTCTTTTTTTATGTTACAGGAGGCTGACGGGCAGGAGGCTCATCTGATGTTAAGTGATACCGCTGCCCATGGACACTCGCATTGCCAGAAGGCTCGCAAGCGCGGCCTATTAAGAATTAGTACGCTCTTTTCTTGAAGAACCCTAAGTCAGAAGAGAGGAGTAGCGACCATGGGTGTTTTTTTAGCGGAAATTGCGCAAACTTGTGTCTTCTTGGGTTTAAATTGCACTAGATTTAGTCTACCCCAGTCCGAAGCTCTGCTACGTGGAGTTCAGACTCAAGTTTGTTCCGGTACTCATCGACAACTGCTCTCTTCTTAAGTCGCGTTCGTCATTACTGAAGGTCGTGTTAATGTTGTCTGTCTGTCTCCCTGTCTTTATCAAGTCTTAGCGCCTGTGTAATACTAATACTAAGGCCTGTAAGTACCTTAACTGGGTCGGTCCAGCGAGTATGGCATCGGGGTCGAGGTCTAATGCCTTCAACTCTGCTGTTCACCATAAGCTTCTCCAAGTTATGAGGGATCTCTGTGTGCTATCTAAAGAAGCAGAGGGCCTTAGGCAACACACTGAAGAAAGACCACTGGTGGTTGTCTGAGAATTGACAAATTCGTCCTATTCGCTGTCCAGGGTTTCCTCCAATACCACATTTTAAGGACATCTAACCTCCTCCTTTCGGATGCTCGAATGGACCAAGTTTCAGTTCAAAATGGGGAAAACTGGTGACTCGACCAAGCTTTTTTAGATTGTACCGAAATATTGCAATATTTACCTGGTGTAAAACTTTATTTTTAAATCTGTTTAATTGTGGTTGATCAACATCATCTAGTCCAACAGACAGGCGACTCATTATTTTTTTTGCCCAACACAAATTTCTTTGAAGATCGTGCCGTCTTTTGTTTTAAATTCGGTTTAAGTCCTATTGTTAAAACCTAATATTACATTTAACATATCTATTATTTGTGGTGTCAGTCATGTTTCCTTATAAATAAATATTATTCCGATATGTTTTAATAGTATTACAATAATCAAACGTCAAACACAAAAGAATATATTAAAAACCTGAAAAGGTAATTTAAAACTCGACTTAAGACAAAGTAGTCAAATGAACGTAGTTGCCCCATTGTTTTAGCACCTACGTACTCAACACAATGCCTTCGTGTTTTACTATAATTATTATGTAAAACTTATTTAAGAGAACGACGAACGTGGAGGCACGATAAGATAGTTCCCCTGTATAAACTTATTTTTGGGGCATTTTCACTGTTTTTCTTACCTATCTAAAACCACTATTGTTTCGCTTAAAATTGCTAGGACGATTAATGCATTCGCGTCTTGTTTAAATGTATGTACAGTACTCGTGTAATCAAAGTCGAAGTTATTAAAAACGCTCACCAACTGTATGCCTGGACAATTTACACTACAATATGTAATTTGGCTTGAGACAGATTCATGTTAGAATTAGGATCTTTGTTAACATAGTAGTAGTTAGTGCGACTCTCAACTCAGAGCTTGAGCGCCAATGGATTATTCTTTGCGATATTATTAATGTTCGAAACGCGCTGTTTAGACCCTAAAGTTTAGAGGTACAGAGGTTGATGTATATATATATATATATGTCAAATCAATGAAACGGATGCAGAAATGTGTCTGCGCCATACCAGAAGCAACCGGTACTTGGGTGCAAAAAGTTTGTATTGTCATAAAATTTCAGGAGTAAATAACTTTATGAAATATTGTTTAGACAGTTATTATAGATAAAGAATTAAAATATACCTCATTGGTACCAGTCGCCCCACTACAGATACATTCGCGATACGATCAGACGCAAAAATCCAACCATTTACAATTACCAAAAAAGGATGGATAGAAATTTTTTTTTTTTTTTACATTTACGCATTATTATAAATACTTTATTGAGATCAAATTACTAAAAATAATATATTATTTTATTGTACTCAAACTACTCCTTAACGAACTATAGACCTCAAATATCGATAGTGATTAACCAACTTTAAAAACGTTTATCAGTTATATATGTGATATTGTTGGAATTTCAGAATTAATGTCGTAAGTTTAGTGAATTTTTGTTTGAATTTCTCGGAATCTAGATTCGAGGCTATCCGGTTCAACTTAAATGTTTTAAATTTCATCAAAATCGCTTAAATTTTGTGTATCCATTTCTGGTGCATGTATAATATAGGTAATTCAATACTTTTTACAGATGGTTGTGCGGTATTTTTATGTTGTTCATAACCCTTCATAAACTTTACAAATAAACGTAGTAAATATCAATTTTCTTCTATCAATTTCGCCTTATACGTCAAGTACATACGACATAAAATAAAGAGTATGAACAATTATTACTTTATTATCATATAAAAAATTCCAGAAAGTATCAGTGTTGAAAAGAGTTGGGTTGAATAAATTCCTACAATATTTACAATTGGCAAAACGACTTTTAGTATCTACGATATTATTTGACGCAGATATTACACATTTACAGTCATTTAAATGTTCCTTTAATCACGAGACCATACAGGTAACGTATATAAAACATTGGAACGGTATTATAATTTTGTATAGTCGTATAGTCTGTGCGGAAAAACTAGCAACTGTCAAAAGTGTCAAATGTCTTATTTGTTTTCGTCTTTGTGTCTATTTAAATGATTATTGTTTAAGTATATTGACCTGTCTTAAAACTAACAATCGAATTTCAACTTTTTTTAATTATTATTTTCATCGATCAATCTCCTCCGTGCCTTCTCAATCTACACGACACTGGTAAAATACCTTGTGCCCAGTTGGCACAAATAAAAGCCATTAAAAAAAGAAAAAATAAAGTATATTGACGTTACAGTGTTCTTTTTTTTTTTTTTTTCAACATAATAAAAAAAGAATAAAAAAAATTCGTTAATTTAGCATAAAGTTTAACAAAAGGCTTTTATTATCATAGACATGAATACAAATATCATACCTTATTACTACGAAGATTATTATAGAATCATTAATTGTAATAGAATTATTACTTCATTGAAAAACGTGACGATTTCTACAAAATTCCCCATACGTCGGTAAAGAAGTTCATTCCACGCCGGGTTTGGCTTCAAAAAAAAACCACACCCCCCCCCAAAAAAAAATTAACCAAAAAAAAAAAAATTTACCCCCAAATTTAAACCCCCCAAAAAAAAAATAAACTCCAAAAAATTTTTTTTTCTTTCCAGTGTTCTCAACATAATAAAAAAAGGTAATTTAGCACTGCTGCGACTTCAAATCCCACGTCTGTTCTCGTTCCTCACAGACTTTATCCATAAAGGCTGGCAACTCGAAAATCTATCATCGTTTTAGATGTCAATGGCGGCGCACTTCATTCTAAGTGACCCGCCTGATCATATGCCCCCTGTCCCATAAAATAGCTTACATTGGAATAATTAGCGTTTAAATTAGTAATAACTTTTTGTTCTTGTTTAAAGTAGTAATATTTTGTTTCAAATAAATCAGGGGCGCTACAACCTCTTTAGGTCTTTAGGCCCTCAGATTTCTAAATCTGTTTCATGATTTTTTCAATCTAATTGGCAAGTAGGTGATCAGCCTCCTGCGCCTGACACACACAGTCGACTTTTTGGGTCTAAGACATGTCGGTTTCCTCACGATGTGTGTCTTCACCGTTCGAGAAAATGTTAAATGCGCACATAGAAAGAAAGTCCATTGGTACACAGCCGGGGATCGAACCTACGACCTCAGGGATGAGAGCCGCACGCTGAAGCCACTAGGCCAACACTGCCTAATTACTCACTAATTATATAAAAAAAACAGCAACACTGATTTTCAGTGACCCCAGTATAACTATTATAAAAAAAACACGCGTCGCGTATCTGTAGTTAGAATGGAATATTTAATGTATTTATCTTTATATATGTATATAATTCTACTGTAAGTGTGTATGTCAATGAACTCCTCTTAAACGGCTGGATCTATTTGAATGAATTTTTTGTATGGGTTTGGGTGGCGCCCTGGATGGTTTAGATTCACAAATCAGCCCAGCAGATGGCGCTGCAGTTGGTACTCTCATACTTTGTTTAATATCCTAATCGCTTGAAATGCAGGACATCTGTCGGGTCCGATAGTCTATTATGAAATGATTGAATAAAACTTACGTATGTTTCCTTATTATGTATAGTATCCTAAAGCACTCTAACTGGCCGTAGTACACGGTTGAATTACGTAATCAGATGAAATATTATTACATAAATGTCAATTAGCAAAGTAACAAGACAAAAATAATAATTCATAATACTGAATAACGAACATATTTACTTTAAAAGTTTACTGCATTATAGATCCATACACATTTCTGCATGTATGTATTAATTAGTTTTTCATAGGCAGGGTTCTCTTCCTGACACTGGTCTTATGATGTATTTCTTCACCGTACGCTATTATCTATTGGTTAAAATCAAACACACGATTCAAGCGAGCTTTTCTCTATTCATAGTATAGTACACATTAAATCTAAGTTAAAGTTCAACTCATTATCGTTATGATTCAAAATTATAAGCGAAGCAAATGGAGAAAGAACACCATAGATAGAAATGCTGGATTAGTCCTTTACCTGTCAAGAGTTTCCGATCAATGGACAGAAGGAAGTTAGGATATCGAGTAACAAGAAAAAAAATGTATATAACAAATCTAAACATTTGTAAAGATTAGATTTAGAAGATTAAAGAAATTATAATTTATTATTATATTAAGTATAATTAATGTTTTGCTAATTGTTTGATAGCAATGTAATGTAAATTAAAATGTAATGTTAAATTCGATAAAAACCAAACATATTAAGATTGGCATATACTTCATAAGTATTATGATCTTCATTTGTTTATTGATGATCATTAGTACGGCCCTCTATATAGAGTCAAACCTGGATAAGCGAGAGTTCAAGGGAGCACAATCTCATTCTCCCATATAGAGGTTTCTCACTAACCCGTGTTTCTCGCTAATGCAGGTACATGGGTAGCGTTTCTCTCTTATAGAGTTTCTCTTATATACGCAGTAAGAACAAGTCACAGCAAGTACGAATGTAGTAAATATGTAATATGATAAAATTATGTGCCTAATGTGCACAACATATATATTTTATATTATTTAGAACTTATTTATTTACACTTAAAAAATCCGTCAATTTCGTTTGTGTTTCTGTTTTTGTATTTTGAATGTTTTTCTCTAACTCATAAATTTTGTCGAATATTGCTTGATCAACAACCGCCGCGTATTCAAAGTACAAGCTCGACTGTCGCTTATAAAGGTAGATAAGTAGCAATCTCACTTACGGAGGTCCATGAGGGAAAAACGACTCTCTCTTACAAAGGTTTCTGTTGCTCGCTAATAGAGGCTTTGGGAGCTTATAGAGATTTCTCACTTATACAGTTCTCACTTACCTAGGTTTGACTGAATTTTTACAGTTAGTAAAATAGATTTTTACTTAGCTTTCATACGTCATAAGTTCAAAACCAAAAAGTTTAAATAAAAAAAATACTAAGTCTTGTTCATTTGAAAACATACTTTAATATGACAAGAGATATAAGGATAAAATATGCAATAGCTATTTAATGGTTATAGTAGGTTTATGTATAAGGCATAATTAAACATTTACAACCGAATCACTCAGTGGACCATTTGTAATATAGTTCAGAAAGATATAATGAGGGAAACCGCTTATTAATAAATAATTAAATAATGCTTTTAAATTCATATTTTTATTTTTATTATACCTAATAAATATAAAAAACTTATCAGACTAAATGTACTTGCACAAAATTTGTTTTTTATTTATGAAATTAAATACTTAATAATAATTAAATGGTGATATTTAAGCGTATTTATATAGTAAGAATAATTTCTGCGCAGCGTACCGCCTAGTTTGCTACGAAAAATGCTACGAAAGATTTTCCTCGTAGCGCTACTTGTAGTGTAAAATAGCATTTAGTTTTTCGTTTCTATATTTCATTTCTCATTTTTTATTTACAGCTTTTTAGCTCGTACTCACAGGTCAAAATTCTACCTTATCATTTCAGTATCCTAAGAGCTGGATTCACCTAGGTGATCTCTAAGCATGTTTAAAAAAGTATTATACGTAAATAGAAATACATGCACATAATGTAACAATAATAATCTCTCTGAAAAATTTGTCTTGTAAAAAAATATAAATCTTATACGCTGCTATAACTAAATTTTAACTATTATTCTAAAATAATAGTTAAAATTTAAGTAAAAATAAGAAAACTGACACAAATATCGTGTCTTAAAAAATGAACAAGTATGTACTAGAATGTTATTTATTTCTAAACTGAATTTGATTAGAGATTAGAAATTGATTGATTTCTATAAAGAAGCAATATCCGCGACCCAGCCTTTAAGAAAATGTCGAAGTATCAAAAAATATGCTTTATATTCACTAAGGGTTGCATTAAACTCGCGTGTCTATATAAGTTTTGAGGTCATGGTCCGAGAAACGCTTTAAGACACTCATGCGAACGGAATTGCAGGCAAAGTAGGCAGCCCTCCAGATACGTATACGAGTTTATAAGAGGCACAGTTTTCGTTGTAATAAAACTAACATGATTCTTATTTATTTCAAAATGATCTAATGTCTGGCACTAATGATTTAATCATCTAATTCTCATGCCTCTAACATTCTGAACTAATGATGTCGCTTTATGAGCAATGTCAAATACTCTGTATGAAACTAAATGATACTATTATTAATTGTACAATATAACTAGGCGATGCTCAATGTTTGCGAATGAATTCATAGAATTTTCGGCGTTTGAAGCCTCTATTGCAATGATGCTTCTAATTCTATAAAGCAAATTCGTAAACTACTACAATTTCCTAGTCAGCCACATTTAACTTACCATAAGCACATGAGTGCCAAATATTATTGTCCAAACTTAGGTTATTAACTCAATTTCACGTATAATAAAAATCACAACCGTAACTTAAGAGACAAATTATCTTTAACGTTTTTTAAATCAAAACGACTGCGAGGTATCACGGATCTGTATAAAAAATAATCGATTTCTAATCTAAGACACTAGACTTGCTTTTATTCTTTTCATCTACCTTCGGAAATATTTAAAGCAGATTCTTTAACCCGTTACATTCGCAACTGATAACAGACTATAATTTTATTAATACCATGTAACGACAGAATGTCCTATTCTATTCCTACGTCTAAGATTAGACTAAGAGCAATAATTTAAATATTTTAAAATCAATAGAGTAAAAATCTAAATGGCGTTAAATTGCAATGTTATGAAGGGAGAGGATCTTGACAGAAGCTACGACCGGTGCTTCTGAGAACAGTGTCGTAATGCACCTGCTAATTGTGTTCGATACGAGATATGAGGATCAAAAAGTGAAACGTCAAGTGATTAGCACTATATTTGTGCTGAACGAGTGAGTGACGGCCGTCAATTCGGCTCGCGGCGCGGCACACACTGGGGCGCCGCGGCGGCGGGCGGACACGGTAGCGTTACGTCAGCGAGGGGAAGGTCGCAGAGGGGGACCGGGGGGCGCGGAGAGGGAGGCTCCAAACTGCTGCATCCTCGGAGTGCCCATCCTTGGGCGGTTGGGCCAGCGAAATCGAAAAATATAATATCCACATTTCTTCAAGATAAACCTGGACATGCGACGGATTTATCAAGAAATGTATTTTAAAGTCGCCAAACTCTTAAGTAACGTTCCGTAGTTTGTGATCCAGGATATTAACTAAAATAAAAAATCCTTTAAAATTTTATATTTTTTTAAGTAGTAAGTGACATTAGTGTCTTAGATTACGTAATTAAAAAAAATTAAACACCACGAACAACCAAACGTTTCCAGAGATGATAGTCAATAGACGAGCTTTTAACGCCATCTAGTAAATACGTTGATAAGTCATTCTCTCAGTGAGTTCGTCATCTATTGGATGGTTTAGGAAACATCCTTCATAAGTTTCAGTCCAAAAAGTGTAGTTTAGTATATATCTACTAGATGACCATGATCATGACTCACCATCGATGAATAAATTATAAAATTGTTTCTTTATAACGTTCCTTTGTTTTTGGTGAAATGTTATAAGCATATTTAAAGGATTGGCGAAGAGACTTAGTTCTGCAGCCTACGCGGTTAAAAAAATTCGCTCACTTTTTTTAGTTACTTCTTAGTTTATTTTAGTTACTTTCATAGCTTAATGACTTATGGCTTATTATTATGGGGTCATGCTGCTGATGTCGAAACTATTTTCATCCTGCAAAAGAGGGCTATTCGTGCAATCTATAATTTAAAATGTAGGGAATCTCTTAGAGATAAATTTAAGGAAATTAATATACTAACCTTTCCCTCGCAATATATTTATGAAAATATTATGTATGTATACAAAAATAGTGATAAGTTTACTAGAATAGAACATACGCACAATGTTAATACACGGAACAAACGCAGGCTGCAATTTCCCCGTACTAGACTATCTAAAGTTAGTAATTCTTTTTTTGGGAAAAGGGATACTCTTCTTTAATAAAATCCCAGAGGCTCTTTTATCTCTGCCTTTCAATAAATTTAAGAAATGTATTAAAAAAAAGCTGTGTAAAAAGGCTTACTATAAAGTCAACGATTATCTAGTTGATAAAAGGGCCTGGGACTAGTGCTAGACAGGCTACATCTAATTAATTTGCGATATTTGTTTTAAAATAAGTGTTGTTTGATGATTTGATATTTTAAAAGAGTACCGAGAGTTTTTTACGCCGGCTTTTTCTCTCGGCCTACACCCTCTGTCTTCTTTGCCGATGAGTAGGGATGCCTACAAATTCAAATTTAATGACGTGGAATAAGTGATACATGTATCTTATGTTCCTTAATAAACATATTTTATTTTATATTTGTCAGAAACATTTGACAGATTCTAGCTACTACTTTAAACGTTTTTAAGTTTGAATTGTGACAATTGTCATTAAATACAAATATAAATTCTATAAACCAATGTTTTACATAGTTTTAAACTCTTTAGAACACCGAGAAAATGGAGACGTTTTTGGGGATTCGGATAGGTTACTTTTCTTCAATTAAATAAAACACACTCATACATTTTTGTTTTATTTTTCTTTGAAAAATAAAAAAGAACAAAATTTAAACTCTAATCATACGATTAATACAAAATCTTACTCGTCCCGCAAAGACAAGTCAAAAATGCTAGACTTTGTATATGTTACAATTAACTTATGAATAAACTCTTTTAATAAAATTGTGAGGTAGTTGATTTTAAATAGTCTTCAAAATCTTATAAATAGCTATACTCTAACATAGACACTTAAAACCCGTATATATAATACCTTAATCGTAATATTATGTTGAAAGATTGAACATTATTTAAACAAAATGGTAAAAACTCAATCAGTCTGAGCAAAATTTGAATGAACAAGAACGTTGAAGAACGACAAAGTTCAGTGAATGAAAACAGAATTGACAGACAGATTATGGCATAAAGTTTGTACACTTGGTAAAATTAAAGATGCAGTTACAATCACGGGAATTCAAAGAAACAAATACTAGATGGCCATGGATTTCTAGAGAAGACTTTTTCAAGTTAAACCAATTCTTACAAATACTTCTGAAATACTACTTAAGTTGTAGGTCAATTAAAATTATTATTATTGCTTTAACGCTTAACCTATTTAAAAATAAAATAAGGGGAAACTTATCAGAAATTGATAAATACGCGGATATGTTAATTGCTTCATCAATTAGACAAAAACTGTTCGTTAGCGATAAAGGACTTCCTTTGAAAACGCAATACGTGTGCAGCGAGCGTGGCATCATATCTCTATAGATAATTACACACAATGAATGAGGTTTTACAAATACTAATTAAAAAACCCGTTAAAAACTATTAAAATATTCTACTCATACGACTTTGAATTACTTAGATAATCTAAGACGTTTGCCAAAACGACAAAACTAAATTCAAAGACAAACAATTCTTGCTCTTATGCTTTTACGTCCTGTTTCTGAATCTCAATAATACCTACGTGTCATAGACTATAGCGTGCTGACAGCTGTTTTTTTTTTAATGTACGAGGCAATTTTAGTTTTAAGTTATAGCAAGACATATTTAGATTTCACGTTATTCCTACATTTAAATTTGTCGAACGTCATGTAAATGTTATAGCATTTTATTTGTAGGATGCCCCACAATCAATGGGGCATACCAATGGGGCTTAGACCATCTATGCATCTATGGGGCATACCCATGAGGCATAGATGGTCTATTGGGTATGGGTATGCCCCACTGGACATGGGGCATTCTCAAAAGCATTTTACCAACCATTTCCCTTTATAGAATCGGCATGATATCGCTTCCACTAAAATAACTAGAACCTGGATATTAATGAAAAAACTAAATAAATCATCTGAATCGATAGGCTTCATTAACAAAATATGGCAGTGACGAACTTTTACACTTTTCCGTACTTAATATGTTAATTGAGCAAAATATTGTTATCAAAAAATTGTTTATGGCAAGTTAAGAAATTACTAATTATAATCATTTTGCAGAGAAACCTTGAAGTGCCCTTATCAATAACGAATTAATGTATTCAATAAAATATTGATACAAACAATATTTATTAATCCTATAAGGATTAAATGTCGCAAGTATTTTTGTATACAAGCGTCTATTCGGCAGTGCATATTGCGCAATTTCTTAACTAAACTTATACTAAGACACTTTCGCAATCTTTGACAATTGATATTTGACAGTCGTGTCAAACGTCATATGAATCGCATTTATGTTTCAGTTGAATGGAAATGTTGCTTTATCATGATGATTTTTATTAATTTTTGCAAATTATTAACGTGAATTTTTCGCGATATAATACTTAATTAGACCTTTGGTAACTGGACAGTTTGGAAACCGTTATGAACAAGTAGTAAAATTTCAACCAAAAAGATCGCGAAAGCGCCTTCCATTAAAATCTATTCTTATATGACATAAAATTGGGCGTAACAACAACATAATTATATTAAAAATAGTCATTATAAAGACACACAACTTTGGGTATAAAAAATTGAGTATAAAACACTCGAACACATAAAATTTGTACTACGTCAAACTTAAGTAAAATCTACGTCAAATATTTTTGTACTTTCTTGTTATTCAGTCTTCTAAAATACAAATAATATTTTAACGTTATGAGGTAGTTGTTTTCAATTAAAAGTACTCTTAACTACGTACCATAGACATAGAGACGTGTGTGAGATAGAGATATAGAAAGAGAGAGATAGATAGATAAATGTATCTGTTTAGACCTTACCATGTAACTGTAATATTTCTTAATTTATTAATATCAAAATATAAGCCGATAATGACAATTTTAAAATAGTCGATATTAATATAATGATTAGTCATCAATTTCTCACCACTTAATAAGAAGATTTCGATAGATTTGCATTAATTGAGGCGAGTTGAGTTCCGTAAGATACACTAAAAGCTCTTTCTATGTAAACAATAATTAAATGTTTTTGAATTAAATTTGTCAATGTTTTGTCACTTTCAAGCGATGCTAAATGCGATTGGTGAATGATTCAACGTCTCTTTCTTTATTCAAGAATTAAAAAGAGATGGCGTACTTGCGCTAATAATTAAGAACCTTTAGCCTATTTTACGTTTCGACTTTTATCATTTTATGTTGTCATTCATATTTGACAGCTCTATGTCTATGGTCTATGGTACCAATACAACGAATCAGTGGGAAAAGTTATAACCGACTTCTTTGGTCAAATACTTCGTAGAAATTAAGTTAAACCGTTTGAACTGTAAATAACGAAGATGTCTTAGCTTTACTGAAGCCGGTTAAGTATCGTGTTATTGGTTGTCCTCTTGGCTGCCTTGGGAACTGCTCGATTGCTTTGATTCATCTTTCTTCTCAATCTAGAAAACATAATAATATTATGGTCATACAATATAAGCGTTAACTTTTAATTTTTTTTTATAGAGCAGAGGGCTAACGGGCAGGAGACTCACTTGATGTTAAGTGATACCGCCGCCCATAGACACTTTTAGTGCCAGAGTTATCGCGAGTGCGTTGGCAAAATTTTAAGAATTTGTACGGTCTTTTCCTGAATACCCTAAGTCTACATTTTAAGGACTTTGCAGAATATTCAACAATGTTGAATTTGAATGTTTTCAGAATATTCAGGACACTGTTGGCCTAGTGGTATCAGTGCCACTCTCATAATAATCGCTTTATAAACATGTAAAGAAATAGTTAAATTTCTCAGATTAGATTCTTTAGATCATTAATTATGTGTTATTTGTTAACTGATGTTTCATTTAACTTGTTAGTCTGTGGAAAAGACGCGAGTTTTGGCCTGTTATTTAAATTTTAATTCGAACATTTTTGATTATAAAAGAAATAGGACAAAACTGATTGTTTTCAAATAAAACAACAAACTCTAAATGTTGTTTCTTAAAATACATTTGATTTTTATTATTTATAAACATTTAAGTTAACAGAATTATTTAATAAGATAAAGAAATGATTAGTACCTTGACAGGACAGTCGGCAATTAAGTGTCCCTCGCTCTTGCAGTTATGACATCTCTTCGGTTGTGGCCCCAAACTGCATTTCGCTGCAATATGGTTGGCGAACTCGCCACAGTTGTAGCAGCTGAAAGATAACAATAGTTTTTACACGATTTTCTCAGCATAAATTTTCTTGTATTACAATAAATCTCTAACTCTCCCAGCTCTCCGTTTTCCCGCTTTTATTGAGCTGTCAAAAGTCACCACAAAGCAGGTGTAGTGTTACACAGACTACCACAACTTTGACAAAACTTAAATCCTCGTTTATTGTAATTGTAATATTAATAATATAATAAATAATAATAATTGTTGTATCTATACTTATTAAATAAATATAGATGCGAAACTGAATGTCCCATTTAGTGTTTGGTGTGGTAAACTTAATTAAATGTGAACTAAACAGCTAAAGTTACCACCAACTTTATGAACAATTCTGATTGCGTCTGTATAACAGTAATATACAATATAACAATTGCTTCTATACAATTGATGCTTACAATTAAATATAAGCACAAGAATTAGATAGCATAATTTCCGTACGTATATTGCGTACGTGTTATAAAAACAACATCTTTGGCTTGTCTGTTAGTCTAGCTACTAACAACTATGATATGATATATGTTAAAACGTATTGGAATAAATAATTCTGCGACAATTTGATGTTGATATTTTCTACCTCACCAAAGAGGATGTGAGGAAATATTTGAAGAGGCGGGAAGACTTTAACTTTATTTAGCAGTAACAATTTAGTTTTTTCTTTGAAATATTATGTATGGTCGTTTGTTTAATGTTAAATTTCAGATTTCTTTCATTTTTTTATTGTCTATTAGTGTACTTACTTATGTTTTCTTTTTATATATAATGTTTATCTATGTAAAGTGTTTTGTTTTTTAATATGTATGTTAGCTGTAAGATACTAATAAATAAATAAATTTGAGTGTGACTTCATCATCACTTGTCACTGAATGAAAGCATCATCTCTAGAGATTATTTAACGAATACGTTTAAGCTGAAAGATAATGATGCATGATGTTACATAAACGTTTTGTAAGAAAAAACTTATCGGTTTTAGAGAGTCCGTTCTACGCCTTTGTGAACTGGCAATTTAGAAGCATAATATTTTTCTGTTGTTTCAAGTGCACTTTGTGTTACCTATATGATATTTTTTAAACAATTTTTCAAATTAAAATAGCTGAAAAAAGTTAATCACAAATATGATAAAATTAGTGTGAGAGAGAGAGAGTTCTCTATGAATTAGAGAAGTGGACTCTACAGTTCAACGAGATGAAGCAGTGGAGGAGATGTTGCTGCAGTTAGCTGATGACTTTATCGACACTACACTAAATGCAGGCAGCATTCACTTGCTATAGTCGTATTTTTAATTAGACGAAGTCAACTGACGTTTACGGTGTTGTCAGTTTTTAATGAAATAAAAATAGTGTTGTGACAAAGTAAAAACCCCTGAATTAATGATCGGTGATGGCACTAGTCGCCGCGCCGCGCTTTTTAATAAGCCATACATAAGCATTACATAGTACTAGTACCTAACTTATGTCAGAGCACTTTTATACAATTTTGAAATAGAAATAATATTCTTTTATAGTTTGAAATGATTAACTATTCACACTCATTGTTCATTCATCTGATTGAACAAGAACTCAACGTATCACTATTACTTTAAATATGGCAACATTATTTTACAAAGTGACATTAGCTACTGTCAGTTGGCTTCGTCTAATTAAAAAAAAATACGACTATAAACATAAATATGCTACCACAGTGGAGCTAAAACATATTCATATGTGGATACCCGGCTTTGGCAATGATGATCTGAGACCCTACAAGAGGGCACCAGTAACAGCACATAAACAGAGAATGGCCCTCATTAGAAAAATAATTAAGAAATACTAGGTTGTATACTTTGGATAATAAATTACTACATATGAAAAAAAAAAAAAAAAAACCATGAATATGAATAATTACCGCAACTTCCTGAAGCGTTTTTTGGACAGCGGACGTCTGTGTGAGCCCTGACAGTCCACAGATGATGGTCCAGAGACTCGAGTAGCCTCCAGTCCTTTATCGGACTCTTTGCACTCAAACTCCACCTCCTCTTCATCACCAAGTGATCTGAAGCCTGGCATTTGGATGACGCTCTGTAAAGGCGGGACTTATTCATTTAATAGCTACAATGAAAAACAAAAGAAAAAATTATCTTTATCACAAATTTAAAAGCGATATCAACTATTGACTAAGGGCCGCTTTCTATACTCGATCTATAATCGAAAATTATTTCCAATCCAGATTTTCGCAGATTTAGATTGATAAATATCGAAATTCGACCTGTCGAATTCAAAGAAAAGTATTTTATGAGTAATAGATTGAAATATCAATTTCTAGTAGGAAAAATTGCATTAGGATTGAGTATAAAAAGCGGCCGTACATACGCAATGTACAAAAAATTTGATAAAAATGTGTACAGAAACTCTGGAAAAATTACAGCACAAAACCTACGTTTTATCAGTACACTTCTGTAGACACACACACATTTTATTTACATTTTTTACTCTACCAAGTACTACTACTACTCTAAGTAACCAGTTTGTTTCAATCTAAATATTTGTTTAGATTTTTCTTAAATATTTTTATATTTTTAAATATTATTTTTTCTAAAAATAATTGATACTTTTACAAATTCCTATCTAATTGTCATTATATTAAAGGTTGCCAAACATTATAAACTAGAAAAACACTTTTTTAACGGATTTGAAGTTATGTTTTATTATAAATTTACAATTATTTTACACCGTGACCACGCACGCTGTAAAGCACGCGAAACGTTACATTTAAAATTATGTAAAATAATTGTAAATTTATAATAAAACATAAACTTCAAATCCGTTAAAAAAGTGTTTTTCTATGTCAAAAAGTTATGCCAATAAAAGAAAATACTATTATAAACTAGCTTTTAATAAGTTATTATGTCTCACAAAATAGCTCACAAACAAAACTTCATATTGTGTATTTACCTATTTCTTTCTTGTCTTTAAATGTGTGTGAACGGCTGAACCTACTGTAAAGCGTAAACATTAGCCAAAAAGGTATAATAGAAATTACTGTATCTAAAGAGGCTTTGGCAAAGTCATGGAGCGCCTCTGGTGGCAAAAATTTAAAAGTATTACATTTCTACGTTTAGAACTTTGTCATACTCATCGTAGAACTGATTGCTCAATGACGAAATTAATGAATGAAATAGAGGCGTATTTATCGGTGTTTTTCTGGTTATCGCACCCCTCCACCGGAACAAGTATGGAGTAACCGTGTCAAAATATTGGACTTTATCGGAACTCAATAATGTAGTCATGACCTATTTTATTACTAGCCGATGCGTAAGATTCCGTTCACCAGTTCTACTTATTTACGAAATATATTTTGTATTTTTGAAGTGAAACTTCTTTAGGCGCATGAGGGTAAATTTTTTACGGATACGTCACGAAGATGTGCAGCGTTTTTGTCGAAGAAAAGGGAGAGAGCGATTGAGAGAGAGTGAGAACGGCGGATTACCTTATAGAAATTCTATTTTTAAAATTAAAATTTCGAAAAGAGTAATTTATGAAATTATAGTGTTTTATATTTCATGCAAAATAATTTATTGAAATCTCAAATAACGGGTTGTAAATTAAAATGCCACGTGTTTTTATCATCGAAGAAATAAATTTAATATTTATGTCAATTTTCGACACTTAATATTTTAATGACAATTAAATTCATTAAATTCCTTACATATCATCCTTATTCTCTACCTCTAAGTCTCGAAAATTTTTAGATTTGTATAAATATGAACAAGACTTAAAAATTAGTTTGCCCAAAAAGTTTCACTTCTGACATGTGTACTTTGTACGCACGCACTTTTTTCATTATATTGATGGGTTACAGGACACTTAAATCCTCGGTCTTTGGTGTTTTATAAACTCCCTGTAAATTTAACTGCTTAGCTAAATTTTTCATTATATAAATTCATAGATGAGCCCGTCTTTCAGTAAAATATTTGGCTATAATTGGACTAATTAAAGTTGTTTATAAATCTTTAAGTTTTATAATATTGAAATTCTATTTGGTTGTATGTCTCTATATTAAAGCCTATTATATGTTTTTTAATAATAATTTTTATTTCGAACTACAAAGGTACAAAATATATAAGTAATTTAAAAATAAAGCTACGAAAAGTAATAATATATACAATATAAAAAGGAAAAAGTTATACCTCAATCGGTTAAATACTTTGTCATTTTTACATATAGTATGAAAGAAAAACATAAGATTTTTTTATATATCTTTGATAATCTTATAAGAAATATGTAGTATAAGAAATACATGCATGCAGGCATGATTTCTATACTAACAGAAGGTAGATTTGTAGGTATGTTTGTAATGAATAATCCAAAATTACTGGGCGATTAAAAAAACCTTCAAAATTCTACATTATACATAAGTAACTTAGTTTATACCATCCGATTAGAACAGACAGTTGGGACAGGTAATCATAGACTTTCAGGGAGTTGCTCTGCAAATCCGCAATGCGTTCTGTGTGCTGCGGCTGGCCAGAGAGCAAACCATCTACTGGGGGGTAACGCGTGTTCGGCCCCCAGCAAAAAGATGCCCAGAAGGACGTGGACCGCGAACAAAACGGCCACTGGTGCCCCACCGATCGGGGACACGGAGCAAATGGAGATAACACCTGGTTTATAGATGTCCCTCCAAATCCTACAGGCGAACATCAACCACTGCGCCAAAGCTCAGGATCTTTTACTCCAGAGCATGGCGCAGTGGTTAATCAATATCACAATAGTATCGGAGCCGTATGTGATCCCCCAGAGGGAAAACTGGTTTGGCGACCGCAACGGTTTAGTTGCGATTGCCGTTTCGTTGCCTGAAGGCTTGCCTCGAGCCTCGCTAAAAGGAAACGGCTGTATCGCTGTTAAACTAGAAAAAGTCGTTGTAATTGGAGCTTATTTTTCGCCGAACCGGAGTATTACAGAGTTCGAGGCCTTTCTGGCAGAAATGGGCTCCCTGGTGGAATGGGCTCGACCATTAAATGTTATTGTTGCAGGGGATCTCAACGCGAAGTCGTCTATGTGGAACTCTCCGGTAACCGACGCCCGTGGCGATGCGGTGGTTGATTGGATCGCCACTCACAACTTGGTGATATTGAATCGAGGATCGGAACGCACATGCGTGCGAATGCAGGGCAGTTCTATCGTTGATGTAACTTTTGCATCCCCGGAACTAGCACATCGCGTCTCCAACTGGCGTGTACTTACAGAGGTTGAAACGCTTTCGGACCATAGGTACATTCGGTGCCTGGTGAGTCCCCATCAACAGTTACCACCAGCAACTGGTAGATCAAATCAGCCTCCACCGGAAATAGGGCCAAAATGGTCCCGTAAAAAACTGGACTTTGACTCCCTGTCTTTGGCATCTTTGACAGAGGCGTGGTGCCCTAAGCCAAATACTATCATAGCAGATAGAGAGGTGCAATGGTTCGGAGAGGCTTTGCGGCGTATTAGCGACGCTGCAATGCCAAGAATCCGCCCTATTCCGCCCCGCCGACAGGTGTACTGGTGGTCGCCTGAACTCACCCAGCTACGGACAGCTTGTGTAGTTGCCCGACGCCGCTACACCCGATTACGTCGAAGACGCCTTGCTCCACGCGATCCGGAAGAAGAAAGAAGGTGCTACGGCGAATACCAAGCAGCAAAATTAACTCTGCGCATTGCAATCGGAGAGGCCAAAGAGAAAGCTTGGGAAGATCTTTTACAAACTTTGGAGCAAGACCCATGGGGCGGCCATATAGGCTAGTGATGACCAAGCTGCGCCCTTGGCTTCCGCCACTCACTACCACTCTAGAACCGGTGTTCCTGGATACGGTAGTCTCCGCGCTATTCCCGGCTAACAGTTCGCAACCAACATCTCGCGATGACCTCCACTATGATGAGGAAGTCCAAGAAGTGACGCCTGAGGAACTCTCTGTGGCAATACTAAAGCTTCAGAGCAAAAAGACAGCCCCCGGACCAGATGGTGTTCACGGGAAGGTCTGGGTCCATGTCCTCAATAACGGGCTGGAAGAAAGGTTTCGGGAGTTGCTAACCCATATTTTACAGAACGGCCACTTTCCGAGTAGCTGGAAGACGGGAAAACTTGTATTATTAAAGAAAGAGGGTAAATCACCTGAGTCTCCATCGGCCTATAGGCCGATTGTTTTATTAAATGAAGCAGGCAAGCTATTCGAGCGAGTGCTAGCAGCCCGCATTGTAAAACACCTTGCAACGGACGGGCCGGATTTGGCCGATACCCAATTCGGTTTCCGGCGCGCCCGGTCTACCATCGACGCCGTTGCAAGGCTAAGAGACGTTTGCGAGGAGACACTCGCGCAAGGAGGGGTGGTGCTGGCGGTGTCATTAGACATAGCAAACGCTTTTAACACCATCCCCTGGAATACCATTATAGACGGCTTAATCTTCCATGACGTACCAGTATACCTTGGGCGCATGATAAGGTCCTACCTTTCGGCCCGAACCGTCATCTACCCGGGTCGGGGAGGTTGGAAGGAACAAAGGGTCTGTTCTAGGCCCACTCCTATGGAATATCGGATATAACTGCGTCCTTCGTGGCTCACATCTACAAGGTGTCAGCCTAATATGTTATGCCGACGACACACTTATCACTGCAAAAGGTCGTACATACAGAGAAGCTTGCATCCTCGCAACGGCGGGGGTGGCACAGGTTGTGGCGCAAATAAGGCGCATTGGCCTCCAAGTCGCCCTCGAGAAATCTGGGGCGGTCTGTTTCCACGGCCCAAGACGAGCTCCTCCTGACGGTACACAATTGGTCGTATGTGGTGTGCCCATAAGAGTAAGCCCCACTTTAAAGTATCTCGGGCTTGTCCTCGATTCTCGATGGACTTTTAAGGATCACTTCTCGGTACTTGCCCCGAAGCTCGCTACCACGGCTATGGCACTCTGCCAGTTAATGCCAAATCTTGGTGGGCCTAGTGCGGGGTGTCGCCGGTTATTTGCAGGTGTGGTCCGGGCGAAGGCCCTCTACGGATGCCCCATTTGGGCCGATTGTCTATTCGCTCAAAACAGGGCGATTCTGAGACAGTCGCAACGGGCGATGGCCATAAGGGTGGCAAGGGCGTACCGCACCGTCTCTTGCGAGGCAGCGTGTGTTATTGCAGGAACTGCCCCCTGGCACCTAGAAGCGGCTGCCCTAGCCAAGATCTATTGGCATAGGGCAGATAGCAGAAGTAGGGGTTTCGACCCCCTTCCTGAGCACATAAACAGTTGGAGACGGGAAGCCCAAGTGACCGTCCTTCAGAAATGGATGGATGAGTTACAAGATCACAGGGCAGGAGTCTGGACAATTACATCTATACGTCCAGTGCTCAACTTGTGGGTAAATAGAAGATGGGGGGCACTCGTGTACCGACTCGTTCAGGTCCTCACAGGCCATGGATGTTTCGGTGGATACCTTCACAGGGTTGCCAGGAGGGAGGCATCCCCCATTTGTCACGAGTGTGGTTTCGCAGACGACACAGCGCAACACACTTTAGAGGTTTGTCCGGCGTGGAGCTCTGAGCGTAGTTTATTAACCGCCACCTTCGGATTGGATCTGTCGCTTCCAGTCATAGTGAAAGCTATGATGGAGGCTGACAGTGACGGCCCGTGGAACACTTTCAAAGCGTTCTGTGAGGCCGTCATTACACTTAAAGAGAATGCGGAGAGGGTTCGGGAGTGTAACCCAGATGCCGACCCTCAACGCAAAAAAAGGCCTGGAAGGAGACGTCGCGATTACGCACGTACTCCACTGTGCCCTTAGCACAGACTTGGGCAACGCAGAAGTTGTGCTCACACAGCAGACGCTCATGACGGAGGCACGGATTAAGGGAAACTGTTACCTCGCCTACCGTCCATAGCGAACAGATGGGGCTGTTGGGTTTTAGTGGGTAGGTGTCCATTGCACCATACGGACTGACTCCCACACTCCCTGCGTCACTTTTAAATCGTTGCTCCGGCGCGGGGGTCAGTAAATTGATTTCCCAACAATAAAAAAAAAAAAAAAAAAAAAAAAAGGTAATCATAGACTTTACTGTTAGAATATAAATATATGCTACGCGTACATATGAACCATATTTATATATATAATAGTATCAATCGCTTATACTGGGAATAAATAAGGCGCAACTGCGTTTCTCTGTGAATACAAAAGAAACAACATTCAAAGCCTATATTCTAGGTTTTATAAAGTAAAATAATATAATTTAAAAAATAAAATACATTACATTTATTATGTCAAGTGACATAAATTAAACATCGTCGATCAGACGGCAAAGACAACATTACAAGTTTTATATAAAAGTTTATATGAAATACAATATAGACAAGAGTTTGTATAGGAAAATATATTATGTTTTCCTTACATATATATAAACTTTACCGCCTGCCTGCAGTCGTAATGGCGTAAAAAACATCCGGAGTTGATAAGCCGAACAAACAAATAAGCACTATCAGGTCAACCGCTAGATACAAGCTTCTTATATTTAAATAAAGTTTGAAGTATGATGAAATACCAACATTCCTATGCATGAAACATAAAATAATTTTTATTCATAATGTATGAATACAAATGTTATATTTATAGTTCATAAGTTACATCCGCTGTACTTTCTCACGAAAGAAAATTATTGTGTGGTTCGAATTTTAGACAACAGATGGCGTTTTAAATGTTTTTTCTAAGACAAAACACGCTATTATAGTAATTTATTTTTTATATACCAATGGTGCTACAACCTATTAGGTCTGAGATTTCTGTATCTGTTCCGTGATCATTTCTCTCTTTTGGGCCTAATGCCGGTTTCTTCACGATGTTTTCCTTCACCATACGATTGAGTGTTAAATGGGCATATAGAAAGTCCATTGGTGCAAAGCCAGGGATCGGACCAACGACCCCAGGGATGAGAGTCGCACGCTGAAGCCCAACACTGAACACTGTTCTGCCGTAATTTATATTACAATTTTTATAATGATTACTAATATTTATTCATTGAAAGTAACATTAAAATTCTGACGATATGGTTCAACCATATTACGAAAGTAAATATGTTTTAAATAAAACAATTATATTTTTGTGAACGCGATTCCTTTAAGACAATAAATGTATAGTGATTTATGTATACAAGTTATTTAAAAAATGAATTTCCCATTATTCGATCCTTAAGTTTTAATACTGACGTAAGAAATTAAGTATTATGAATTAAATAAAAAATGTATCGTAGCAAAATATTTATACATACTTGATTATTCCAAAATTAAAATAACGGTCTATAGCTCGTTAGTTACCTGATGTACAAAGACATCCTGTCCGCCGTCGTCAGGGGTTATAAACCCCCAACCCTTAGCAACATTAAACCACTTGCAGCGCCCGCGCCGAGTCGTATCCGTCACACCGCTACCGTTGCCCACACCTGTAAGATTAAAAAGTACCTGATAACATTATATATTCACATACGGTATAAAAACACGATCTACCGAAACACTTTTAAGCTGTTTCCTATGGCCTTAGGACAACAAGGTTCGCTGCTTTTTCATAAAAACTGAGCTTTGCATTATTTTAACTAAAGTGCATCTTTCGTCTCTTTCTGACAAATTCTGTTTACACTGTGATAAAAAGAGATGTTTACTGTTTATATATTGGTTTTTCAGACAATAAAAATAATATAAGTTGATTATGTAGCTTATTAATGTTTACAATTACTATGGAAATAATTTGGCCACTTGCATGCGTAATTTCCTACAACATGTGGTCAGACGAAGAAATTTTATCATCTGTAATTTACAGATTTCTTAACGCAAATGTGCGTAAATTAAATTTACCTAGGACACATTTATTATTACATTATAAATGGGAGGAATATAGCAAGATGCGCAGTTTAAACAAGGATTTTAAACACAACTATATGGAAAGGACTAGTGGGAAGAAGAAAAAGGTGGATAAAAGATATAGAAGCGTTAGCAGGAACGGAATGGAGAAAGAAAGATATGTATGGAGAAATTTGGAAGTATCTGGAGGCCTTTGAAGGGGTTCCGATCAATGGTACTGAAGGAAGTTAGAATAACGAGTAACAAGAAAACATATAAGTATATCTATATATAAATTTAAACTTACCAATTGTAAAGATTGGAAATAAACTGGCATTATTATAATATGTATATGTAAAAGTACAATATAGAATAACCATCTATATTTATATTTAGTTCAAACACACAAATACGGAGTCTTTACAATATTCTTAACCTACATAGAAACAATAATAATAAAAAAATTATTTATAGAAAATTAAAACAAATTTAAAAATTTTAGTCCCTGGCAGTGATGTACCTTTAATGCTGGCAGCATTTTCTCATTGTATTTTGATACAAAATTAGATCTGAATTATTACGTTATCATACCTACCTTTTTGCTAATGATTTTTTAGCTTTGAAGTTTTATTCTACTAATCAATATTATTCATGTTATTTTTAATACACTTATGAACGTCTAAAAATTTCTCTCAATTTACAAGCTTCGGGCGTGTAACTCAACAAGTAGGAGCAACTCCCCGCCACTCTCTTTAATCGTCATGTTTACAAGATGCGTGTATAGAGGCCAAACTAAGCAGAATTATGGTTCAATAAAAAAAACAAAAAAAAAACGTATTATAAACGTATATTTGTATTAGTACTCTGGCTTTTTATAAATAATAATTTACAAAAAAAAAAAAAATCGAAGGAATAATTTCTTGATTTTAGATTTTAAACAGATTTTTAAGCTTCCCTTCGATTTCTCTGGGATGCCGTCATCCTGGATTCCTTATCATAGTGCCACCCTTGGGATGTGAACAACGAAGTTATCCGCGAACACACAAAAACATATATATAATATATATACGAGTTGAAAACTGAATTTTTTTAAATGCACGTATACGTGCGTCTACGTATACGCAGGTATCTACGCATCACTTGATCAATATTTATTTTCTTTAGTCATTCTTTATGTTATAGGAGAAAGCTCCACGCTTAATAAGCATAATATGTTTTAATTTATTCATAGTATACGAATGTATAGTAATTGCTAACGCAACAAATATTTTAGGAATTTGGGTTAAAATTATACATTGTTGCTTTCGTAGGTTTTATTTTATTTTATTGTATATTATAATTTATTTAAAAACTTAACGACATAGACTAAATTGGTTTAAAGCATAAACACATTATAGAAACTTTTTAACCGGATAGTAGAGTCACCGTGACCACGCACGCTGTAAAGCATGCGAAACGTCGAATAAATTTAAAATTATGTTAAATAATTGTAAATTTATAATAATACATAACTTTAATCCGGTTAAAAAGTTTTTTCTTTAAGTTACTCAAATTTGTTCACCGATTATTAATTATATTGTTAAAAATATTATTGGGATGCTAAGTGTGACTCAAGTGTGAGTCAACACGAGAAACAAAATGTTATTGTAAAAACATTTCATATCAAAATTCGATGAGACAAAAACCAAACAGAAAATGATGTCTCTTGTGGCTAAGCTGAGTTTTATTTTGTATATTGGGCAAACGGGCAGGAGGCTCACCTGATGTTAGTGTTACCGCTGCCCATTGACTCACAGTGCCTGAAGGCTCGAAAGTGCGTTGCCCGCGTTTTAAGACGCTCTTTTTTAATGGAAGTAAAAGAATCGGTTCGGAAATACTTTAGTGGGCAGCTGGTTCCACATAGTGGTGGAGTGATTAAGAAAACAATTATGAAGCGAGCTGAGCAGAGCACGAAAAAAATGTAGTCTTAATCCTCTTAAGGTCTTCAGGGGTCGCTCTAACCACTACGTAATAATAATAAATCGTTTATTTGCCAACATAGTGGTACAATTAGATCGATCAACTACAAAAATCCGCACAATCAGCCATATATAGGCATGCAAATGTCATATAAATTTTTACAATGTCATATAGTAAGAACATTAACATAATGTCATAATAAGTTAACTTATAATTGATGGCAAACTTATAGTTTAAATACTCGCCCACTTAAAAGGCACTTTGCCTTTTAGAATTTAATCCAATAACTCATCAGATTGAGCCCCAATTACCAACTTCAGTCTTCGACATAGGTACATCTTCTAACAGTAACATTTCAATGTTGATAGTATTTACTATTCGGTCAGAAGCTCACCGTAGGCGGAAAACAAATTACAAATATAATAATCCGACTGAAAATCGAACTTACAACCCTATGGTCCAGGATACCATTTAGACACGAGGTCCTCATGAGAACAAACCAAAAACTTAACTTTCTCCGTAAATAACAGTACCACAATTCAAGTAATATAAAAAAAATCTGTGGCGCTACAACCTCTTTAGGTCTGGGCCTCAGATTTCTGAATCTGTTTCATGATCATTTTTCAATCTAATAGGCAAGTAGCTCAGCCTCCAGTGCCTGACACACGCCGTCGACTTTTTGAGTCTATCACATGTCGGTTTCCTCACGATGTTTTCCTTCACCGTTCGAGCGAATGTTAAACGCGCACATAGGAAGTCCATTGGTGCTCAGCCGCGGATCGAACCTACGATATCAGGGATGAGATCGTATGCTGAAGCCACTAGGCCAACAATGCTCATTCAAGTAATATACTGTGATATTAAAACGCAGTAAACATATATTTAAATCAAAATAAAACAAAATGTTAACTTAATTAGTTCCAACTTAAAGCCCCTTTTAACATCAAAAACACAGTAACTCTTCTATTGAAACTTCACTCATAAACTTAGCATAATTAGCATACTCATTATCCTTTATAATTAAATAGATCATATCTATTAAAATGCGTAATTAAATTCTTTAAACTATGAATATTAAAATGTAATCGACGCTTTTGTCAAATGGCTTGCTGTCGCTTTTCAAATACGTTTTACCGTTCGGAAATCTATTAGCAATAAATAAGAACGATGAACAGGACGAAAGGGTGTATACTATTCCCCTTATCAAAGTTCTTAACAAAAAATAACGTGGGAAACCAATGAAAGAATACTCTATAGATATGACCGGTAAGGTCAACGACCTCGGGGGACCGATAATACCAATTCCCATTTTTAATTAAGCGACGGGGTTCACGTCATTTTCTATGTGTTAAGCGGCGTATAAAGGCTCTGTTACTTTTGTTTTTTGTTTAGGAATTTAGTTTATTAAGAAAATTGTAATACGTATACTAACTAACCCGACAAACATTCTTTTGCCATGTATATTATTTTTAAGAAACATTGTTTTATTTCAAATTAACTATCTGCTGTAATAAAACATAGAAAGTTATCGTAGAGTGGTGAAAATTAAGGGTTGTATGAATTTTTATCATAAAAAAATAAAAACAAAAAATGCATAAGAATCGGTCGAGCCGTTTCGGAGGAGTATGGGAACAAACATTGTGACACGAGAATTTTATATATTAGATTAATGTGTCGTGAAGGTATCTGTATATATGTATATTAAGGAATTAAATAATCTCGTTTCTTGGTATGACTGTACGAAATGACGATTTCCGGTCAATAAATGTAAATACTCATTGATGACTAACTATATTTTTAGGAATCAAATTATGAGTAATGTGATTGATAGCATTCGTTGAAGTCATCTCAAAAACATTCTTAAAACTTGTATTCAGATTTTTGTAAACTGAGCTTTTTGATTAATAACAGTAATTACATTGTTAGAAGAAGTTAGCTTCTTGTACTGTATTGCCTAAGCAGCCGAAACATTTAAACCCGAAATCGAACTCATGGCTTAGGGGTTAACGACTATGTCGAGCAATACAATAAATATTTGAGAAATAAACTTAGGTTACTTAAATGTTCTGTTTTCAATGATTTTTTCATATATTCATAACAATTTATTAGGACTTTAATTTGTAATAGGTAGTTATTACTCATGAAAAATCAATCAGTCTAATTGCATATTAAAGTCATCTGGCTCTTTTTATCACAGCGTATACACCATTTGGCAGAAAGAGACGCAAGAGTAGAGAGTTAGCAATTAGTGTGATTTAGTAAACTTTAATGAAATATTTTAATCCCCACTGAATTTTATATATTTAATTACATATATCTTCTATTCTTCTATGTATATGGATACAGTAACTTATCAAGTTTACTATATAAATACTGTACAAACTTATCTAAGACAATTTAGTTTTAAAGTGTGATTTAGTATTAATAATAAAACTTTAATAAAATAATTCAATTCCAACTGAATCTATATTTATTTATAAACATTAAATTAGCTCTATAGTAATATTTATTTATAAACATTAATTTAGCTCTATAGTAATATTTATTTATAAACATTAAATTAGCTCTATAGTAATATTTATTTATAAACATTAATTTAGCTCTATAGTAATATTTATTTATAAACATTAAATTAGCTCTATAGTAATATTTATTTATAAACATTAATTTAGCTCTATAGTAATATTTATTTATAAACATTAAATTAGCTCTATAGTAATATTTATTTATAAACATTAAATTAGCTCTATAGTAATATTTATTTATAAACATTAAATTAGCTCTATAGTAATATTTATTTATAAACATTAAATTAGCTCTATAGTAATATTTATTTATAAACATTAAATTAGCTCTATAGTAATATTTATTTATAAACATTAAATTAGCTCTATAGTAATATTTATTTATAAACATTAAATTAGCTCTATAGTAATATTTATTTATAAACATTAAATTAGCTCTATAGTAATATTTATTTATAAACATTAAATTAGCTCTATAGTAATATTTATTTATAAACATTAAATTAGCTCTATAGTAATATTTATTTATAAACATTAAATTAGCTCTATAGTAATATTTATTTATAAACATTAAATTAGCTCTATAGTAATATTTATTTATAAACATTAAATTAGCTCTATACTAATATTTATTTATAAACATTAATTTAGCTCTATAGTAATATTTATTTATAAACATTAAATTAGCTCTATAGTAATATTTATTTATAAACATTAAATTAGCTCTATAGTAATCCTAAACTAATTAATATGTGCGTAACATTTCAAAATTCATGTATATTTTTAGCACTCTCCAAATGGCCATAGAACTATTCTCATAGATTTCGTTTGAGGGGTAATTCGAAGCTTTTACCGCACACGTGGCGTCCGCTGAAGAATGCAAGGTATTTGGGTTGCGTCGGTACTTCATTCATCGCAACGCTGCACGGGCCTACCGCTAATACAGGTTCCACAATCGTACAAGTCTTATTTACAAATTTTTAAAAACATTCGGAGAGGCATAGTGGAGTTTATTTAGGTTGGGAAAAAGTCTTTTCGCATTATAGTATTTATGAACTTGTAATAAAATCTCTTTGGCTATACTATTTGTATCTGGCTGTTTGTGGTTAAAAGTTTAAATTTAAAAAAAGATAATTCCAAATTCAAATTAGGAAAATGTGTGATTTTTTTAAATTTAATTGACATTATAGTTGATATCTTAGTGCTTATAGAAGATATCTGAGGATTCGATTTAAGAATATTTATTGTTTATCAATGTAATCTGTTTTGGGTTTGTGTATTGTCTACGTTTTTTTTCTTTTACAATATGAATATTTGTTCGCTGTAAGATTACTAATGAATAAATAAATAAGATAGATTAGTTAATGACTTCATATATAAATAAATGTTTATGAAGATTTTAGGTCCAAAAATCACGCTAGTTAGATACCAGATCGGTGGGAGGGACGGATCCGTGGATACATACATAGAAATGTGTCTGCTTCATGGAGACGGAGAAAAAACAAACAGTTTAAAAATAATATAATTATTTAAATATAAGAATCTAAACTGGTTTTTATAAAGTGTAACATAGTATAGAACGAGTTTAATTGCGTTTAAATATATGTTTATTTCGATTGTTAAATTTAACCGAACAAAATCAACTTAACTAGAATATTGATTCCTGTAATCAGTTCGATAATGTCAACCTATCGACCTATTACAAAATATTTTATCACTATTCTATGAAATAGTGTTCTGATAAATAACACTCATATCAATTACCATAATTTGCTTCGGGCTTTTTTGAGTCTATTAGATTTTGGAGTGTTTACATATTTTCATTACGGCATACGAAAGTTAAAAGAAAATCCTTTCAAAAACGACATTCTAGAATCTAGATGGTGGCTCAATAATTAACACATAAAATCCATTCGTACTAATTAGAAAATCATAATATGTTAAATCAAAGTCAAATCATTTATTTCAATTAGGCCAATTAAAAAGGCGCCTTCAGTAGTCAAAACTAATATATACTATTACTGTTAATATATTTACAATATTTTTAGCCAGCAACGCATTTGCGAGCCTTCTGGCAATGTGTTCATGGCGGTATCACTTAACACTCATATTACGTAATAAAAACATGTTAAACCCCAAAATCTTTCTTGCTTCATAGAACTTACATACAAATTAAATCCACGAAGCAAGCAACAAATTTTCAATATTAGAGGCTATGTTGAGGGAATGTGAATTCTGGCGGTAGCAGCACCCGCGGCGTGCGCGTTGTTTACTCAGCGTGCTGCGAGTCGACGGCCTCGGCCCGTATACGTGCCAGGGTTGTCACTTCTTGGCCCTTTGTGGCCTCTAAGCGCCTTTTGTGGGATATAACCGTACCAATTTCTAGGCCTTAAGCTCCTATTGGAATGATAATTTAGTCTGTAGATAATATTTGCCTAAATCAGTTTTATCTAAAACTAAAATATTACCCACGTAGTTTACTTTTATAGTAAAATAGTACTTGCGTACACGCATATAAGTCCGCCATGTATGTCTAAAAGCATACATTTCTAATACTTCGTCGTCTTAAAATGTAGTAGGTTATATCGACAAATGAATGGAGGAACTTATTCTAATTAACATTTTATATTTATTTACCAGTGGCAGCCCTAATCCTATGCACCCTACAATATAAACTCTGGAATCTCAAACTTCATACACATGCTTCACTTTTGATTGCATTCCATTAGCTTTACTATTTGATGATAATTTTTTTGTTTATTCTTTAAATGTTTAACGGTGACATTCCTTACCTCACTATGGTTCCAACGATTCATGAAGTATACAATT